AGGAAGAGGAAATGACTGGTGCAAAGGCATGAATGCATAAAAGAATGGGGCAAATATGAGCACTGAGAGTGGAGTAATTGACAGAGGATAGATGGAGAAGAGTAAGGAAGGAGTGGTAGAGAGAAGATGCCTGGGTTCTGTGTAGAAATTAGGAAACGCTAGGTATTTCTAGCAGGAAGGTTTTACTACAGGGAATTAGGTGCTTAGAAAATTGTTGGAAGGGAGGAAAAGTGGAAATCTGGGAGCTGTTGTGAATGAAGTGTTTCGATCATGTCACCATGGCTGCTAACCAGAGGTTGGAGGACTGCTGTTTCCTCCTGATGTTTGGGAACAGTATGAAACCACTGCCAGCATCACAGCTGGTAATATAGTCCTGGACTAGATGGTAGAATAAAGTATGGCTGCTGCAAAAACTCAGACTGCTGCCATCTGTACATGAGTTGCCCCTACTGTAAGAGGAAGAACAGCCGCAGCTTCCTATTTCTCTACCAAATGTTGCATAAGTATATCTTACTGACAGAAATCATATCTGGAACCTGATAGCAAGGGGGTCTGGGAAATGTAGTTCCCAGGCTTCCAGCCCCCGTGATAAAGAGAACTTAGAAGAATGGAAATGAATGCTGAAGGTCAGTGGACAATATCTAGCACAGCTGAGAAGACAACTGGGAACTAGACTGTGAAGGGGGCAGAAAGGCATGCCAAAGAGTGTAGAAAAGGCTGCATGGAGTGCCACTGAAAGTTTAAAAGCAAGATTGTTACAATTAAATTTGTTATATAAGCATTGGTGGGACTGTGAAGGCCATTCTTCTAAGCTTAAAAAAAAAAGCTATACAATTGTTTATTAAATAACTATTATGCACCTAGAACCATGCAATGAAAAAGTCCTCTAAGGTTGTTTAAAAATTTTATTTGTGCTAACTCATCCATTCAATATTCTTCCCCCCAATTTCTAATTGGGTATCCCTTTTGTGGTAGGCATTGTGAATACAGATATAAATCATATATGGTCTCTGGCCTTAAGAAGCTAATATTAATCTTTTTTCTTTTCAGAGAAGACTAAGAAAGTTTTAGAGGGTTGTTTGGTGAATTAATTCATTGCTTCTCAAAGTACCACCTGGCAAACCCTAATCTTGTAAAATGCTCTCAGAAAAAAAAAAAACAGGTCCCACTATCAAGCCAGTTAAAATTTTTTCGTATATATATTTCCTTTTTTGAATTTAAGTCTCTAATAACTCTTGTATTAAAACAAAATTAATTTATCAGGATTACCCACTTTTATTTGACTCTTAATATCTATTAACAATTGAGTTTTTTAGGGCACACTTGAGGAAAGATTGGATGCTTGTATAGAAGCGCCAAATTGAAGACTACCATTGGGCTATATCCAAAAAAGGATGTAGATCTAAGGGAATGAAAAAAAGAAAACTATTTGAGTTTTAGGTATAATTTCTTAATTTCGGAAGTATTTTCAGGTCAGAAAGGACATTGAATCAAATAGATCTTAACACTAAAAATTTTACAAATTAATAGCTATCAATATTTACTTTCTGACTCTATAACTATACTTAGTAATAGAAAACTAAGAACCATTTATATTCAGTATCTACTTCTTAATGTGGATTTGTGAAAGATCAAAAACTTTACTTTTATAAGGATGTTACGTACCATAAAAATTATCTAGAAGAATACATACCTTAGACAGTGGAAGTTTATAACTATTGTAACAGGATGTTCACCAGTGATTGGCTGCAGCACCAAATTATAGTAAATGCTGCATCCAAGGAATTGATACAGGAAGCTTTGCAAACACATTACACAGCTATTGAATCCCTTCACCCTCAAGGCCTTGAAAGGTTTGAGCAAATGGAAAGAGAAATGGATTTTGTGATTTCCTTTGAGTTAGGCTGTGGTTCCTCACCTCCGCCTCCTTACTAAGGGCAGGTGCTTGCCTGTCACCTCTTTCCTGCAGTTGGAGGTGTGTTCTGGTGTCTGACTCTGGCCTGGGCGACCCGGGGGGGATGTGGGTGTGCTGGCAGCTTTGGCAGTGGAGGTAGGAAGAGGCAGCTAGGAGTATCGCTGGGCTTTTTCTCTGGGAATCAGGGCAAAGGGCAGTGATGTGGGCTGATGGCAGAGCCAGACTGAGACTATTCTAAATCTGCCCAGGAGTCTGTGACCTCGCTGGGGTTAGAAATATAGACAGGCTCGCTAAGGAGAAATACCCAGCAGAGACAAAGGATGTGCCCTCCTCTCACATTGTAACTGAGCCCCAGATGCAGAAGTTTTAAATATGCATTCCACATAATGAATTGGCACTGCCTTTGTAAGTTAAAATCACTACAGAACTTCTACTTAGAGTAACCGGGAAGTCACAGCACCTAAGCTAATGTTCACACAAAGGGGAGTGGGTTATCCCCACTGATCAGGCTTAAAGGGACACCGGGAGACAAATCCAAGTTGTTTTCATGATTACTCCACAAGTCCTGCTTGCTCAATGCATGGTTTACACTGTTAAAAAACAACGAAGATGGGGTATATGTGAGATGATATTGGCAAATGCCTACAATACAGCGAGATCCAATTATAATGTAATGTCATGAAATATATACTAGTAAAATCCTAATCTGGGTGCATGTGTAGAAGAAATTGATCCTGGGTTATTTTATGTCTTGTGAGGCTAGAGACTGGGGTAAGAAGTAACGGGTTAGAAGGAAGAGGTCATTCATTCAGTTCTTTAGATTCCACATATAAGTGAGATCATATGGTATTTGTCTTTCTCCGACTGACTTATTTCACTTAGCATAATGTTCTCTAGTTCCATCCATATCGTTGTAAATGGTACGATTTCATTCTTCTTTATAGCTGAGTAATACTCCATTGTATAAATGTACCAGTTTCTTAATCCAGTCTTCTACCAATGGGCATTTCAATTGTTTCCAAGCCTTGGCTATTTTGAATAGCGCTGCAATAAACATAGGGGTGCATATATTTTTTCAAATTTCTCTGGACACCCAAGAATGAAATTGCTGGGTCATAAGGTAGTTCCATTTCCAGTTTTTTGAGATACCTCCATACTGATTTCCATGGTGGCTGCACCAGTCTGCAATTCCACCAACAGTGCACCAGGGTTCCCTTTTCCCCACAACCTTGTCAGCACTTGTTTGTTGATTTATTGATGATAGCCATTTTGACTGGTGTGAGACGGTATCTCACTATGGTTTTTATTTGCGTTTCTCTAATTAGTGAGGTTGAGCATTTTTTCATGTCTGTTTGCCACCTGTATGTCCTTTAGAAAAATGTCTCTTCATGTCCTCTGCCCATTTTTTAATTGGGTTGCTTGTTTTTTTGGTGTTGTTTTATGAATTTTGGATATTAACCCCTTATCAGATGTATCATTGACAAATATCTTCTCCCATTCAGTAGGCTGCCTTTTTGTTTTATTAATGGTTTCCTTTGCTGTGAAAAAACTTTTAAGTTTGATGTAATCCCATATGTTTATTTTTCCTTTTATTTCGCTTGCCTGAGGGGATATATCAGTAAAAATATTACTCAGTGTAATGTCTGCAAATTTACTCCTTATATTTTTTCTAGGTTTCAGGTCTTACATTTAAGTCTTTAATCCACTTTGAATTTGTTCTCATATATGGTGTAAGGAGGTGGTCCAGTTTCATTTTTTTGCTTGTGTATTGAATGAGCAAAGAAAACAGAATAGTCTCAGAGATATAGAGGAAAAACTGATGGTTGCTAGAAGGGAGGGGGGTGAGGATGAGAGATGAGGGGAAGGGATTAGAAAGCATAAACTGGTAACTACAATATTGCCATGGGGATAGGAAAGACAGTTTGGGGAATTTAATCAATAATATTGTACAGACTTTGTAGGGTATCAGATGGGCACATGTCTTATTAGGGAGACCACTTCATGGATGGTGTAGATGCCTGACCACTGCGCTGTACACCTGAAGCTGAATAATATTGTATGTCAACTATAATTTTATATATATATATATATATATATATATATATATATAGTCATAGGATGTGCAGTATAGGGAATAGTTAACAGCTATATACGATGTCAGAGGGGCAATACATTGGGGGAGAGGGGTTATCACTTTGTGAGGGGTGAAATGTCTAACTATTACATTGTTTTGTACACCTGAAACTAATAATAATTTAAAAAAGTTAACCATATTTTAGAATTAAAAAAAAAAAAAAGAGATCGCAGTAACATAAGGGAGGCACAAGCTGAGTCTAACTGAACGCTAGCAAAGGGAAAAGCCCTACTGTGGGGTCCTAGAGGTCCTCTGTTCACCATTTTGGTACTGGGTACCAAGCACTAGGCTTGATATTGGTCTTTTAAAGCTGTCGTTTTCCCTAGCGCCTCACAGTTTAGCAGAGGAGACTGACAATAACGCAACATACCTGACTGGAGATGAAACAAGCTAGCGAAAATCAGATTACGTTAACTTGGAGGCTCATTTCAAAGTGAAGGTTATCAATAGAATTTGGCTTGGAATTAAAAGGTGAGTATTTGCTAGACGGAGAAGCATTTAGCTTTGTGGATATCACGAGAAGTTGGGGAGGTGGTCTGCATTCACCTGTGCTTCTTAGGAGACCAGCGCCTTACCACTTGACCACCGCGCCTGCTCACCTGTGCTTCTTATATTGGATAAGCGTCAGCATCATCAGTAAGCTCCACACCTACAGATTCTAATTCAGAATTCTAAAGCTTAGTAGCCTCATTGCTCAACTCTCTCAGCTCCCATGCAATTCTGACTTGGTAGGTTTTGGTGTTTGAGAACCACTGGAAAGTCTCAGCAAAAAAGATATGACGGGTTTAGGAGGGACTGTTGATGCTGCAACTACGAATGGCTTTCCTGAAAATAGCACACACACAAAAATAATCCACCACCAACCAACATCTCTTATGAAATGAATTTAATTTTTATTGCTATTTTATAAAGCTTAATATTTTTCTAAATAAAACAAAAAAAAACCCCCAGTTTACATGTACTAAAGCTACAAGTAGATAGCTATAGATAATATAGCCGTTAGGAAAAAGAGCAGAACTAAATGTGAAAACAAAAGCAGAAAGCAGCAATAAAATTAATACCTACATAAAACTAGCAGTGCAATAAGATAAGCAGAAAGCAGCTTTACACTGAGAAAATAAAAAGTTATTTAAACACAGAAATAGCACCTTCCGAAAAGGAATCGAGACATGTAAACTCGGTCAGCAGATTCAAGTATAAAAGTTATACCCCCAACTCTTGTACCAGATGGAAAGGGTTTCACAAACCCTGGACAGGGTAGAGCACACACTTCCCTCAGTGCCACCTCAAAGCTGCATTTCCTTAGCAAGATCACCAACCATTATTTTTTAATTTTACTAAGTTATACAATGAAAAGACTCCAGATCGCCACTGCTGTGTCGCTCCAAGTCTAACTCAGCAGCTTTCCGTCCAGCAGTTGCTCTGTAAGAAACAGATTCATCATCCCGATGGAAACAACTACTGCATTCTTATTTTTACATAATCCTGCAGCCCTAGTAAGAAGCGGGTACTACTGGGTTGTCGGAACAGTCATGACGCATTTTTGCAGTGAAAAACAGAAAAAATACGTCATGACTTTTCCGACAACCCAATAAATAGAAAAGGAATATGTTTTTAAATTTTCTGTTGCTAAGTAGAGTCACAGAGTCCTAATAGTCTCAAGGATGGGGTTGCTTCCTTACACCTCTCCAGGACTGAATTTTCTGAGGTTTATGTGGTCCGATCAGGAACAGAATTTTTAAAAAAGGAAAGCAAGGAAGTTGACATGAAGCCCATCTAAGGACAATAGTAGAAAAATCAGCTTGTGTTTTCATCTAAATATGGACCTCTCAAGTGAAAATACTTTGTGGAAGGTCTTAAACATGGTATATTTAAAATGTATGTACCCTGTGCAGATTTATATGCTGTGTGTCCCACGATCTACCTGAAAAGGGCATATTTTTATTTGTTTTGTTAAGGAACCCGTCATATTCAAGGTAATCATTACCAGGCAATGTCTGATGGTTGAACTACATGTTTTTTTTTTTTAATCTGTTTAACTCTAGAAAAGATTGTGATAAAGGAAAAAAAAATACCATCTTGTAAACTTTAAAAGTTTAGTGTTGATAAACATTTTATATCATAGCAAATTTATTAATCTGGCTACCTACCTCAAGTTTTAAAAAATCTTGTGGGGGTAATAAGGCTAACATTATCCTGCAGTTAATATAAACCTACTTTACTCAGACTCCCAGAGTCTCTTAAATTAATATTTTTATTCTTTCATATAACATTTTATTGGGTCCAAAAATAAAAATAAAATCAAACCCTATTCCAAGATTCCGAATCTAAGATAGAAATTTTTAAAAAGAAAAAGGAATAAAGAAAGGACGGGAGGGAAGGAGAAAGCCATTTCTTCTGAAGAGACAAGAATGAGGTAAATATCAATAAATTTAGTTTGGCTACTTACTGAAACCCCAGAGTACTATGGTTTAACAAAGGGACGTGGCATAACAGCTTCCAGAATTGTATTCATGCTAGAACAATAGACCTTTGCCTTCTCCGTTCTTATTTTTCAGAAGTAGCCTGAAAAATAACTATGGGGTGAATACTCTTGGATACTGAACATCATGTATCCATTTTCCCTCTTACCCTGCCAAATATGAAGAAAAAAGTGAAAGAAAAAAATAATCACCTCTTGTCCTGTATCAATTTCTACACTAACTCCTCAGAATCCTACCAAAGGGTCCCATCCAAGTTCCAATGTTCCACATAATTACTTTCTGTCATCCTGATTTATTCAATAAACAGCAATTGCTAGAAGGCATCCCTACCTGATATTCTACAGTGAACATTTAAATAAAAACCACAGGGGCATGTAGTGAAGGAAACTGAGCATGGTAGGATTTTTCTTTTTTGTCCACACAGTTATCTGAGAAGCAGCTATTAGGCTCTGCTAGAGTTCATCTTCGTTCTCATGCCCAGATAGAGTTAGCACAGTTCATTTACAGCAAGGTGTGTCATTCACAGTTATTTTGGTCTTGACATTCTGTCACGTATATACATTCACCCACATTATAACTAGGTTGTAAAGTAAGTGCAGGGCAAATCATAGGGAAACAGTACAAACATTCAAGTCGTCATACCCTGAAAAACATGTTTTTGCTGCAGTTGTAAACTTTTTTTGCACTAAATCCCATTGCAGGAACAGAATAAATAAAACCATAGGATTCACAACTGAAGTTGGCTTCCTGGTGAAGTCTAAAGAAGCAGGTTGTTTTAAACTGCAGAAAGGAAGTGTCTCTCACCACAGATCTACTCAGGGCGAGTGGAAATACATGCCAAGAATGCTCCCCCTAGTTAAGTGCTAGACAGGCCCCACCTTCGGAGAAGCCACAAGGCTCCAGCAGCCTGTTCAAGATGTGTTTCCAGCAATAAGATGATTCTTGAGGCAAAACCACAAGTCAACCGGCGCTTTCACGGTGACACCAGGCCCAGAGTCTAGACACTAACTGGGATTAAACGCACAATTAATAACAATTACTTTCAGGAAAATGGACGATGATTCATGAGGATGGGGAGTAACATTAGAACTCATGGATGAGAGAGGAAGGATGCATGCTGAAGAACCGATGGTTTGCACTCACTCTTTCTGCTCAGCATGAGCATGTGATCTGTAATGCAGGGAAGTTCAAGTGGGTTCACACCGCCCCTGTCTGGCAACGCGTCAGGTTAGTCAGCCCCGCTGCTGGATATCTCAAGTCTCCTCTGTGCGGAGCTGGTGTTTCGAGGCTGTTTGCTTTCTCTTCGAAGGACGGGGTCTCCGAGGCTGCCAGGTGTCTTGAAGAATGTCTCACAATGTGTGGGTTGGATGCTCTTCGGGGTCACGGGAACTGGTGACTACATGAGAAAAAAAAAACGTAAAAACAGAGGGGAAGTCAAAGTGTTCTCAGTCTCTGAATTGGAAGCCCAGACCTGTGTCATTATGATCCCTAGGCAGGTGTTCCCTCCACTTTGCTTTTCTATCACACGTATCTGATTTATCGCCATCTCAACACCTACCACAGGGGCCGGCCTAATGGCTCAGTTGGTTAAGAGCTTGCTCAAGAGTGTGAGCCCCGAGCAACAGGGTCACCGGATTTGATTCCCACATGGGCCAGTGAGCTGCGCCCGAGCTGAGCTGCCGCTGAGCTGGTGAGAGCACGTGCTCCTAACAACAAGGTTGCCTGTTCAAGATGGTGGGCTATGCCCGCCCTCAACTCAAGACTGAACTTGACACCTTGAGCTGAGCTGCTGCCCGGGTGGCTCAGTGGATAGAGCCATGCGCTCTTAACAACAAGGCTGCCAGTTCAACTCCCAAATGGGATGGTGGTTACGGCCGCCCGCAACTAATTGAACACAGAACCTTGAGCTGGGTGGCGTGACTGGACTTGGAGCTGAGCTTGCTGCGCCCTCCACAACTAAGGTTGAAGGACAACAACTTGGTTGTTCCCCCTCCCGAATTCCCCAGCACTGTTCCCCTCCCCCAGTTCCCCAATAAAATCTTTAAAAACCCCAAAAAAACCCACTTAGCACAATTAGATGTTAACTAAGTTATTATTTTGTGTGCAGAAAGGCAGCCTAGGAAAGAGGTTACAAGTGTGGCACTTGGAGCCAGGGCCTGGGCTCTGCCATCACTAGCTGTGCGACCTTGGGCAAGTTAGCTAGTCTGTCCCTCAGTTTCTTCATCCATACAATGGACATGATACAAGTACTGATTTCACAGGGTTCTAAAAATTAAGCAAGAAAATATTGATAAAGTACTTTAGAGCATGCTGGAAATAGTAAGTGTATATATGTTGTTGGCTCTTTTTGTTTACTTGCTAACATTTATCCCCTTAATGTGCTCTAAAAGAGCAGAGACCATTACCATTACATCCTCACTGCCAAGATCAGTGCTTGGCACATAACTGGTGATCAAAAAACATATGTTATGTTGCAATCACCTTGTTTTATAACTAGCATGTTTATTTCAACGTCTAGTAAATTTTTGAGCCTGAGTAACTTGTCTAAAATATTTTGGGCCACAGTATAACTCTTTCTTTGGGAAATGAATCACCCTGAATAATGCCGAACGCATGATAGGATTTCAACAAATACTTATTGACTGAAGTACAAATAAAGTTTGGGTGGGGGGAAATACAGTATTGATTAATTTATACTGATTATATACATTTATATATGCACATTTGTATATACTTTGAGTGTGTGTGTGTATGTGTGTGTATCCACTGCCTTCTAAACATTGCATTTTAAGAAATGACAGATGTTAAAAATCTTTGCATCAGTTTTAAGACTTCTGTTTCCCTTGTTTCTATAGCTGTACAATTAAAATTCAGGGTAGTCCCTTTCTTGACCTAACGAAATGAAAGCTTGGAGAATATGAATATTCAGCATTCATCGAAAATTCCCTGAACTATGCCTAAAATGAATCACTCTCACTTTAAGAAATGGGATGACAACTAAAAAATATTGGGTTGTCGGAAAAGTCATGACGCATTTTTGCAATAAAAAACATAGAAAAAATATGTCATGACTTTTCCAACAACCCAATATTTTTGTCTTCAAAGCATAGGATCTCCTGCCTTAAATCTCCATACTTTATAAAACGAGCAGGTAACTCTAGGCCAACACTGGAAGTTGGGTAGAACCTGACCTAGAGCCTCTGTCCTACAGTCGTCTGACTAAAATCGAAGCTCATTAAATGCAGGCATACCTATTACAGAGTGATGAGCTTTCTTGTGCCAAACTGAAATGAAACTTCAGGACTCACCTGTTGTAATTTTACAGAGACTGGAGGTCCTCCGTAAATGGGCGATTCTGGATGGGTGACGTTGTGTGATCTTGACATCACGGGACTCAGGTTCAGTGAGCATGGGCCCTGAAGCTGGGGGTCTGGGGAAGGGTGTGTTGACGATTTTGGATTAACCACGGCTGTAGGGCTGATGAGAAGATGAGCTGTTGATCCGAAGCCAGGCAAGCCAAAATTCACAGGTCCTGTGTTTGGGAGAGTGCCAGGAGCAGAGGAAACCGGCCCGGCCATTGTGGGAGAGTAGAGAATAGGAAATGGGCCCAGTGCTGAAGATGGTAAGACCATGCAAGGAACACTGAGGGATGGCAGCTGACCTGCAGATGGCCCCACAGCATGGGGAGTCTGATTGCCAGATAAGAGCACATTAAAACCATTTAATCCTGAAACAGAAGCAGAACGAGGCCGGAAATCAACACAACAGGAAGACACCATTCAAACTCCCATGCCTCGCGACCCTTTCAAATGGAAGCCCACAATAAATCAACCCACCTGACCAGCTAAACCCCCTTTCTGTGCTCTCTTAGCCCCATATCGCTTCTTCACAGCAGGAGCTATGAATGAAATCCCATATTTCCTTGCCTGTGTGAGAATTTGGTGGATGCCCACATCTCCTGAGAGGGTTTTTAAATGTGAGTGTCACTGAGCCCAGAGTGAGGAGGAAAGTGAACTTGGATGAGAAAAAAATTGTTATCTTTATTTTCACGCACTTCTAGCTGAAATTTGTATTTCCCTCCATTAAGATCACAGGCAAGAAATTGCAACAGTATTAATATACCTTGACTTTGTCACAAGTAAAAAGCACAGACATATTCATAGAATATTACAGCTATGGCAGATTAATAGACAGTTCAGCTCATCACAACTTTGAAATTATGAGAGTATTGGACTTGCTGTCAGATCTTTTTACTATAATTAAAAATTTTTTTTTTCTAACAGCATTTCAATATAATTGGCTTCCTTTACAGCGGTTCTCAACCTGTGGGTTGCCACCCCTTTGGAGGTCGAATGACCCTTTCACAGGGGTCGCCTAAGACCATCGGAAAACAAAAAGATACTTACATTACGGTTCATAACAGTAGCAAAATTACAGTTATAGAGTAGCAACGAAAATAATTTTATGGTTGGGGGTCACCACAACATGAGGAACTATGTTAAGGGCTCGTGGCACTAAGAAGGTCGAGAACCGCTGCTTTATAATCATATGTTCTGTGCATTCGGCAGCACACTGAGGAGGACTCCATGGGCTGCTCCACAGCGGGCAAAGGGTCCATGGCCCAGAAAAGACTAACAACCCTTGTGCTGGGCTGTCATTTTCATTCAGCAGGGGGTGATTCTGGTTTTTGTTCATCCATGTATCCACAATGCTGAGTATCATGCTTAAATTAAACACTCAAGAAATATTTGCTAAAGGAGTAAAGAATGTTTTCCAGATGAGTGAATGATAACCAATACCTCGCTAACCTGTGAAGCGAACAAGGAATTGAGGCAAATCAATTTAAGCCTCTTTGCATCAAGAGCTTCATGTACAGCGTGCATATACAGAACGCACATCTTAAAAATTAGGTATGTTATATTTCAGCTTATTTTCAAAATATGAACAGCATTTACTGAGTCTTACTAAGTGTCAGGCACTATTATTCGAAGGGCTTTAGATGTATTATCTTACTAAATTTAATTCAATTTTCATAGCACCCCCCCACACACCCTTTAAGAAGCAGGTGCCATTATTATTGCTGTTTTACCAATGAGATGAATACTCGTTTCAAGTTCATGCAGATAATATGTGGCTTTAATGTCCAGCCCTCCTTCTCTAGCCCTGGCAAAATCTGCACAGGGTGGCCAATTGTGATACTGAACCCATGGCCAGACTAAGCTGAATTATAAAAATAGAATCCTCTTTTGAATTTGTTGGGCTTTTTTAGCAAATAAAGTGTAAGGAATTTAAAAAATAAATCACCTGCTCTACTTATTTTCCCATCATACTTGAGGTTGGTGAAAGTGAAAGCAGCCTTTCCCTCCATTTCACTGATGGGGTAAGCTAGAGGGCTAGGAGTAAAATGACAGAGGCTGCAGACCACAGCTCATCAATGAACAGCTTTGGTCAGGTGACACGCACAAAGATTTCAAAATCCAATTTATGGTCTGACTACCCCAAGGGAGTCCAAGGTACGATGTCATCCCTTACCAGCCGGTGACTGCACATAAAGATACTGCAACAAACAGGGCTCTTTGGTGCCTCCGCTGTCTCTTGAAGGCTTTTCAATCTCTGTACTTCTTGAAGGATTTACCCACTCTGAAGAAATGAAGCCGTTTGCTGTAGTCTTCCCTGAAACTTCCTTTGCAGCGCACAGTTGGCTAGTCAAGTGTATGTCTTCGAGGGGCACAGGTCCTCTTTTATCCAGGGTCTTGGGAGAGGCAATGTTGGTAGAATCTGAGGGTTTCTAAGCACAACCAAACCAGGAACCAAAAAAGCAAGTCAAAATCCCAGTAGCAAATCTTAATAACAGCTTTCTCAAAATAGCTAACAGACACAAAAAGGTCAAACACAGCCGTGCACCACAATGATGTGTGTATGTCAGTTGTTTCAGTCATATTTATAGGAATAGTCTGAAAATCAATGCCACGTCTCAGGCATAGAAATGATGGAGATTTTAATAATGGGAAACCGGCCATGGTGTTTAGATTGTGGAATAAATTTCTGAGCTGCTAACACAGAAAGGGTGTCGATACCGCAGCCCTTTAGGGGCCTGATAAGAACTGTGAGGAAGCCCAAAGCCTTCTGGGTTAGCTAAAGCATATACTAGCCAGTCTTTCACTTCTGTTCTGCAACCCAGGCTATCTACCAAATTAGGAAAACTCACTCTGGCAAGAGAAGGGAATAGGGGAGCAAGGGTCTTAATGGACTGATTTCCATGACGTATGCCTAGCTGGCCCACTACCAACCGCTGTAATGACAGTGCTTTTGCTTTCGGAGAGCTTCGCTGGTCACATCTCATTAGCTTCTGAATGGCTACTGAGCGGAAGATGTGGAAGGCTCATGTTCGTGCTCTTTTCATTTTGTGACTAGGGAAACGGGATCTCGGAGCAGAGGTGAGAACTGACCACGCACAGACCCGGAAAGCCAAGTAGCACCCACAGTCCTGACTCGAACTCAGCTGCCTCCTCGATTAAGATGATGATTTCAGTGATCTCAACTTATTTTAAAAAAGAAAATATAGCAAAAAGAGTAGGAGGAAATACACAAACATGTTAAGAGTGATTGCCTCTACGTGGCGGTTTAGCAGGTAGGATTTTTTTTCCTTTATACTTTTTAGCATTTTATATAAAGTGTGACTTTTCTAAAAAAAAACTTTTCTTACAGTACTACTTTATGGCAAGGTTTTGTTTTTTGGAGAGCTGGTCCAGGGCTTAATTATACACGCGACACACGAAATACCTCATATTCCAGACTCAGTAGCTGATGACTGTCTGTGTGTCCTTAGTAGGAAGCAGCTCTGGGTTAATGGGATGTCATTAAACCCATCCCCAGAACTCCCTTACCTTGGGCATGACAAGGGACAGAGGGCCATCTTCGTAGTCCCTACTTTGTCTTTTAGTGGCTGGCTCCTCCTCCCCTTCAGGCTTTCTCTCTTCACTGAGGCGCTTCTGAACGGAGGGTGCAGACGACTGCTCTGCTGCTGCTGAGACTTTGGAGCTTCTGTTGTCCTTCTCTGACCCTGGGGCCGGTCCCTCGGACAGGCTGCCATACAGCATGAATAGCGAGGTGGCGGGCACATACAACAAAGATGGACTGGCCAGCGGGGCTGGCTTCAGGCTCTCCATGTCCGGAGCTGCAAGTGAGACACCTACTTGTCCATTCAGACCACTCTGTGCAGACAGGGCCTGCATGTCTGCCTGAGGCACAGAGAATACTTGGTGGGCTAAAGGATTAACACAATATTCTGAGTCAACAGGGTGGATGGGGAAAGGAGCCGTGGGGTCCAGGCTGCTTGGCAGAGGCATCACTCTGTTACTCTCAAGGGCCTTCTCCCTGTAATAAAAAGAAACATAACGGGTCCTATCAAGTTACCACATTCTACCAACTCCTGGCTCTCTGCTTTCCTGAAGAGAAATGTGTACTAAAACAGGAGTGAGATAATACTGCTCAGGCTGATATTAAAACGTACTCCCTGAGCCCGTATTCGCTCACCTAACCCAGAGACTGACGACCAGGTGTCACCGGGATGGACGGTTAGGGGTGGGTGGGGTAGCTGGTGTTTTGGAGCTCTTGGAGGATCTCAGGTTACAGCTAATAATGGCTCCTTCTCTGCCTCTTGCACATCTCAGAGTTGTCCGTTCACCAGCACGTACCCCTTACCAAGCACATAGATGCTATAATAATAGCATCCTATTGTCATAATTTTACGTCATTATTATAATATTGATAGCTATTCGCATTTCCCCCAGTTGATTAGGGAGGAAAATTGCAGCTCAGAGGCTAAGCAGCCAACTGAAGGTCACCCAGCTGGGCCTCATACTCAGTCCCCGTGAGGGATCCTGGGTGCCTAAGAGACTGGACCAGACTTTGATTTAAAGGACACATTGAGTTTGTCTCAAATCCACTGTGAGATAAGTGAAATGGGTAGTGAGTGAGGACATAATCGCATCGTCAAAATTATTATTTCCTGGCAGTCTTGTCCCATTTTGCTCACTATTATGATAGAATTTTTAGGAAGCACACATTCAAAATCAAGGCCCACCAACATGGAGATTTATAAACAATGTCTGGACCTTTTATACAGAGAAATTTCCAAATATTAAAACATGTTTAAGTGTTTAGTATATTTTAGGAAAGAGATGAGGAAAATCCTTTTCAGATGCCTTTAGGAACCAGTAAACAGCACAGGAATTCCTTGCCCCCTTTCTGATGGAATTGCTGAGACCTGTGTTGCCCACAATCTCACTATCCACCGTGCTATAGGAGTAAAATAGAGTGCGCAGGGCTGCAGAGATGAGTCAATGTCTCCAACCCTAGCCCCCTCTGAATGGGTCATCACTATTATTCGGCTCTGTGAAATTCAGTGTGTCCGCACTGAGTATATCACTCACCATCTTACCTTTCGCTATCCACCTTCAATCTCCCCATCTCTACCAATAATATCGTCATCATCACCTGGGACCTAGGCGTTCTTTGTGACGCCTTTTGACTTCGGTAGGTCTTGCTGACTCACTGTCTTACACTGATTTCATCTCAAGCTGACCTGGCTCAGGCCTGTACCACAGACCAGAATGACTGCAAATGCTGTGCTCTGTAGTTTGCTCACCTGGATCCCTTCTCTACTTCCAATCCCACCTGCTTAAAGCAGCCAGAAAGGTCTTCTTCATTGAATCTGCAATACTTCTTTAACACCTGTCTCATAAATCCAAACTCTTCTACCTGGATTTCAAAGCTTTTGCTAACTTGACCTACTTACCTCTAACACCCAACTTCCTCTTATGAAGAATATTTCCTTTTACTATCCTATTTGGACAAATCATTATGGCTAATCAATTTATTGTCCCCTTACTCCCTGACCCTGCCTCAGAATCGGTTTCTCACATCTGTCATTAAAAATCTCTCGTTTCTGCTTTTGTATTACCTCTGCTTTCTCTGATAATATGTGATTTCCTTCCAAATCTGACCCAAGATTTGAGTCAGATGGCCTGGGTTTGAATCCACCTCTGTTACTTATTAGCATTGTGACCTTGGGCAAGTTATTTAACCTCTCTGGGTCTCAGTTTCCTCTCTATAAAATGAGGATAACAGTACCAACCTCAAAAGATAGTTGTTATGATTACATAAGTTAATTTACATAAAACTTTTGGAACAGTACCCGGTAGTTCATGTGTTACAAAAGATTCATGGGACTAAAATGCATCATTTCTCAGTGTCACACTAGCAATGATTTGTCCTTTTTCAGTGTGTTGTTTGTTTTTTTCCCTATGAGCTTTCAGAGCTTAGGGGATAAATTTTTCATACTTTTGTGTCCCTGATGCTACATCCTACACAGTGTTGGGCACAAAGGGAAAACTTACAAAATTCTAAATAAGGAAATGGCTGACTTATGAGCAAGAGGGCTAAAATTTACCTTTTGATGGGTGGCGTTTCAGTTTTGTCAAAGTTAACACTCAGAAATAGAAAAAAAATACACCTGGAATTTTTAAAGACGACTTACTGTGAATTGTTTTCTATTTTCTGTTGGTAAATAGGTGCCAGACTTCCGATTTCTAAGGTGAAGCCACCTGATCCGGAAAAGGAAAAGAAAGGTCTAACAAATATAGTGAGAGACTTATACGCATCAATTATATACAGCAGGGTTCATTATTTACAGCTCAAGAATTATAAGATAAGCTCCAATCTATTCTGGTCTTTATTCATGGAGAGAAATTTCCAGAAGCTAGCTAGCTGTTAATGGTGAATTCGGGGTTCATCAAGAATTAGTAAGAACGAAACACAACAAGTGTTGCTTTGTAAGTTGGATGAAATTTTGAGATGTATGAAACAGGCCAACCATGGCAAGCTAACTGATCTTCAAGGCGCTGACTTGGAGCAATTTCAGGCATGGAGCCAGGTTCATATCCTGTGAAGTCACAAACTCTTACCTGTAATAACTGGTTTACTTTAGTGAAAAAAGGGGCAAAAATGGAGTCAGCTCATTTAAAGTGCCAGTGTATGGGTAGGGCTATAATTACACGGGGATTGACAGATTCCATGGACTAAGTGAAGGCAGATACCTTGTTCTTGTCTGAAAGGGCTGCTGGGTTCCGAGTTCACTTTCCTTTGAATCCTCTCAGAAGCCTGAACTTGGTTGAAAGAACCATGTCGAGCCAGCTTCTTTATTGCACGGACTTGTACCTGGCTATGGGTTTCTCTTTTTAATTCTGGTAAGACAGATGCAGAAACATCCACTAGTTCTTCATCTAAATGAATGAGAGATTTGGAAGTGTTATATACAGCTATAATTCGGGGTAACTTTAGCCTATTTAAGATATGGCTTTGAGAGCCTATAATTATAATGAAGCTACCCTATAAATTAAAAACTAAGACAAAGGAATTTTAGAAGCCTGTCTCAAACCCCAATTTTCTTTGATGTACTATTTTTTTTTTAAAGTTAGTGGATGACTATAAAGTGAGACTGAATCCACATATATTCTAAAATTATCTAAACTACAACAAAAGTAGAGCAAGGTGTTCTTAACTCAAATTAGATTGGGCCTGACACTTTAAATACTTTCTTTGGGCAGAGAGTATCAAAGGGAAACCCAACCATGCTCAGCCCATGCATATTTTGAGATCTTAACATTAACTCAGATCAGCCTCTTATGCCACAGCTCTATGGCAGTGAGTCTAAGAATTTCTATTCTCTATTACACTTTATTATTTCTTTCTTATGCAGTAGGAGGCTCAGTTACTAAGTGACCGAAGAAATAAGGTCGGCAGAAACCTCATGGTTGAAATGCTGCCGAATAGTGACGACAATAAAAGGCTGGGTCTTGGACCCATTTTGTGTTTAAAGGAGGCTTTGCGAGGTCAGGAAGAACTTTCTTCACAGAACCAGGCCCATATTTCTATATAGAAATTGTTCCTGTTGCTCAGACAGTCCTTGTTGCCCTGTTCATCTGTGCTATTTTTTTCCTAAGCTCAAAGCATGCATTTTAATAAGACTGATTTAATAAATGGAAAGGCCCAGGTACACTTACATTCTCTAAAACACACAAAAATTGAAAAAAACAAATCAATTTTATGGTTCTTCTATTTCTTATAACAAACACCCGTGCATATTCTTTTTATAAAATCAGGAATTACAAAATCAAAAGAAAAAAATGGGTCAAGGCAGTAACAAGGATCATAGAGCCCTTCCTTCCTGAAATAAAACATTGGACAAAATATGTAAGATGTTGGCTCGGAAGACATTGAACGTCAGGACATGAAGGATAGTGACCCTTAGTGACAGGAATCAAGGGAGGTGATTGCTCCAGCTAACTGCCTGGGGAATGTTTCCAGGCTGGGGTGCAGAGAGGGGGACCTACACAGAACCTGAAAGTCTCCCTAAGTTGAGGCTGGAGCTGGGAGGCCAGAAAAGCCAAAGCAGCTAGACTTTGTAGGGAAAAATACCGGCGAGGAGAGCTGTAGAGAAAGAGAATGCTGGAGATCTGTAGAGTATTCAGTACCGTACTCACACATGTGAGAAAAGTGCCCAATGCCAGGGAAAAAAATCACTCAAAGGGAGCTGAAGGAATAGTGTCTGCTGCTTATACAGGGCTGGAAATAGTTGCCAATAGCCAGAGTGGAAAAATCTCGTAAGTCATGGGTTAGAATATTAAAAAGGCTGTTGTTTCAGTAGTGTCCTTAAGACTAAATGTTGATAGGGTCCTGCCTACCAAAGCTTAAAAGCAAGACCTGAAAGGATCATTGTTCCTAAGCAATTTTACTGCACCCCAGAACAAAGCTCAAGAACAATTTTAAAACTAAAATATTTACAATCCTCGGTGTCTGGAATATAATTAAAAACTAGAAGGTATACAAAGAAGCAGGAAAATATAACCCACAGTGAGGAGAAAAATCAATTGAAATGGATTCAGAAGTGACACAGATAATAGGATTAGTAGACAAACATATTAAAACAATTATTATAATTGTATTCCATAAATTCAAGAACTTGGTGGAAAGGCTGAACATACTAAGTAGAGACATTGAAAATATAAATGCCCAAGTCAAACTTCTACTGATGAAAATGACAATGTTAGAGATGAAAATAACAGTGAATAGGATTAATGGAAGATTAGATGTTGCAGAAAATAATAGTGAACTTGAAGAGACAGCAACAGAAACCATCCAAAATAAAACACAAAGAGAAAAGAGATGGAAGAAAATGAATAAAACATCAGTGAACTGTGAGACAACTTCAAGCAGCCAAATATAACTGTAACTAGAGACTCCAAAAAACAAGAGGGGAGAGGACAGAAAAAAATATTCAGATAATGGCTGAAAATTTGCCAAATTTGATGAAAACTTTAAATCCATAGATCCAACAGGCTCAACAAACCCAAGTACAAGAGACATAAAGAAAAGTACCAGGTCACACATAATCAAATTCCTTAAAACCAGTCAACCAAAGGAAAAAAAGACACATTACATATGGAGAAACAGGGCGACAGATTTCTTGTCAGAAACAATGCAAACTAGAAGATAGTGGAGCACCTTGTTTAAAGCACTGAAAGGAAAAAACCTTCATCCTAGAATCCTTTACCCAGTGAAAATATCTTTCAGAAACAAAGGTGATATAAAGACATTTTTAGACATACAACAGCTGGAAGAATTCATCACTGGCAGACCTGCACTACAAGAAATGTGAAAGGAAGTCCATCAAGCCAAGAAAAATGAGACCAGATGGAAACTTGGATCTACAAAAAAGGAATGATGAACACCGGAAATTGTAACTACATGGATACATATCAATTTTTTCCCCTATTAAAATCTCTTCAAAAGACAATCAACTGTTTAAAGCAAAAATAGTAGCAATGCATTATTGGTTTTATAACATACAATGTTTGGCAACGATAATACAAAGGCCAGGCAGGAAGAAATGAAAGTACACTACTGTAACAAGTAAACATGAAATCAATAAGGATATAAAATTAGACAACACGTCAGCCAACTTGACCTAGTTGTCATTTATAGATCATTTCATGCAACAAAGCAGAATATACCTTCTTTTTAAGTACACATGGAATATTACCAACATAGACCATATCTGTACCATAAAACAAGCCTCAGTGAATTTAAAAAGGATTCAAGGTATACAAAGTATATTCTCTGCCCACATGGAATGAAATTAGATATCAATAAGAAAAAAAAATATCTGGAAAATCCCAGAATATTTGCAAACTATATAACACATCTAAATAACTTATGGATCAAAGAAGAAATCAAAAGGGAAATTGCAAAGTACAGTAAAACCTTGGATTGCGAGTAACTTGGTTTGTGAGTGTTCCACAAGACAAGCAAACATTTCTAATACACTTTAACATGGTAAACGAGCAATGTCTTGCAATACGAGTAGTTTGTTTCCGGAACGAATTACGCTTGCAAACCAAGGTATTACTGTATTTTGAATTGGAAGACAATGAAAACACACATCAAAATTTGTGATATAGAGATAAGGAAGTACTTAGAGGGAAATTTATAGCACTAAATATCTATTAGAAAAGAAAAAAGGTCTCAAATTAATGACCTCCACTTTCACCTTAAGAAACTAGAAAAACAGGAAATTGAACTCAAAGTAGAAGAACAGAATAGAGAACCTGAATAGCCCTATAGCTATTAAAGAAATTGAATCTGTTATCAAAAACCTTCTCACATAGGAAACTGTAGGCCCACATGGCTTTACCGAATTCTACCAAATAAAGACATGTTTGTGAATGTTAGCTGCAGCTTTACTTGCAATAGCCAAAGAAAATAACCCAAATGTCCATCAACAAGTGCATGAATAAAGAATGATATATCCATACCAAAGAGTACCCCTTGGCAATAAAAAAGGAGTAAATTGCTGATGCATGCGACAACATGATTAATCTCAAAATAATTATGCTGAATGAAAGAAGCCTGGTAAAAAGAGTACACCAGAGTACAGTTTATTCTTGTTATTTGTAGTAATTATGTTTTATAAAGTCACCATGAACACTGAATTAGCAAATGCTGAACCATTGCTCCTAGGGGAAATATAGGGTTAGGTTCCTGTGAGCCTCTGGTCACAATTTTATCCACGGATGAATACACAACCCTGTTTTATGTGAGTCTGTTTAAGGACACCTTATTTGATATATTGTTGATCCACTAGCACTGAACTCATAGCCAACTGCACCAAAACTCCCGCCTGAATGAAGTTCCTCTAACACATGTAATTTCTCTGTACAGCCCATCACAGCCTTCTTGCTCTTGGAAACGCTAGGCAGTACTTCAGTACAGCATTTGGAAACCGTTCAAACAGCGAAATCACCAACACAAAGCATACAAATGTGAAACCATGGCACTACTAAGTCCATGAAAAGGCCACTTGTTTATACTATGAGAGCTGAAACAAGAACGCCAAGCATCACGTTGTGCGACCTCAGCTGGAAACATGTGCGTTGGCAACTCAAAATTTTCACAGCTCTTCGCATGTCCGTGAATGACTGAGAAAAGGCTGCGAGTACTGATTTTGGAGTTACAAATACTTCTTAGTTAGTAGGTAAAATCGCACATATGGAGCCTGTGACTAATAAGCACTGACTGTATGTGGCTTGCTTATAAAAGGTTTCAGAAAATACAAACATGAAGCTACAGTGAAGGAAAGCAGACCAGGTGGTTGCCCTGGGGATGGCGGTAGGGGCAGGAAGGAAGGAATTATGAAGGGACAGGAGGAGCCTCTGGAGGGTGATGGGGTCACTATCTTTGGTGATTATTTCACAGGTGCATACAATGCAAAAACTTATCGAATTGTAACTTTAACCACTTGCGATTTATTGTAGGTCGTCATACGTCAGTAAAGCTGTTAAAAGGAAGAAATGGACATGGTGGTGGGGAGAAGAGGAAAGAGACATCTCTGAAGTTTAACTGTGAGGAATTGCTAGTCAAGGAATGAAGGAGAGTGAGTTAAGGAATGAAAGGTAGCTCAACATTCCAAAATTGACTGCAGGGTCGATGATGATGGTGTTGTCGGTAGGAACTGGGAAATCACAGAAAGGCGATCAGCTTTCCACAGGGTAGAGAGAGAAAGTTCATATTGAGGTTCCTATTTGGTTCCAGGCCCTTCTCCCTCATCAGATCAGAGCTCTCTCAGGTGCTGTCCCACCAGTTATGCAGATACGTGAACTCCTAAGTTTCTCAACGCCAGCTCATCTTCCTAGCTATCTTACTTTCTGCAATGACGCCACCACCTTTGAGTCGTTCCTCTCTCTCAATCTCTCCATCTAAAGACCCCTTGTCACTTCAGTCTATTACATCGAGTGCAAATTTCTTGGTTTAACTTTAGGGGCCCTCCAAAAGGTCTCAACTAATCACTTTTCATTTCTCATTATTCTCTGTCCTATGCTCTCCACGTAAATCAGGGTGGCTGATCTCTCCAGTACAAGCTGGATTTGTTCCTAGGTATCAGTTCCTTCAACTAAAAAGCTCTCCACCCTTTCAAAACCTAACAGTCCATCAGAACTTAACCCATATTTTCTCTGATTTCCTACAGACCCAGTACTACCATGTGTAGTGCTTAATTTTCAAATGTGTGCCAATTAATTATACATCTTCAACAGAAAGCTCATTAACCAACTAAAGTGAGTAAGGCACTGAACTGGGTATTATGGATAATCAAAGATGAATCAACACCTCTTCTGCCCTCAAATGGGCAGAGCAGGGACAATGGCATGGCATTAACATCACCAAGTACAACAGCACAATATCAAATTGCAATAGTTCAGATGAGACACCCTTTGCTCTGGGTGATCATGGAAAGTCCGTGGAGGAGTTGACATTTGAGCCAGGTTTTGAGGGTTGAGGAGATATTTTCATGTCAAAAAGAAGAAGAGGGCTTCACAGGTGAACGTATTATAAGAAGCCAAAGAAGGGTAGAAAATGGCCAAGTTGTATATTTCCTGTATGCAGGGACTATGTAAAATACGTCTTTAAATCTCTTATGGCACTTGGTATAGTCATCGTGCACAGTCCACAATCAGTAAGTACTTGCTGGGTTGAATTAGTTATGCTAGATTTTAAGTGGTTTCATCTAGACCCTAAGTGAATAATGTGTTACAATGAGGTAGAGAGCTTAGCTTTTATAAGCCTAGGTTAAGTGGCAGGTATTTATACCACTAACACCAAAATTGGAAGGGTAATTTAACAATAACTTTAATGGATTTTTCCAGGCAGCCTAGTTATATGTAAAGTAGCTGGTATAGTAGAATCCAGTTCCCAATTGCTCAGATATTACCTGGGAACCAAGTAGAAGATAATACCCTCTTTTGCTCTAGTTTAGTAAAATTATGAATTTCTAACCTTTTAAATAAATTACAAAAAAGGTGTTCCTTACATCCATACTATATTTAGAAGCCATCTTACCACATATTAGTTTTGTGATAGTAATTGGTAAATTTTTACATTATCTGGAATGTCAAAGAAAAATACTTTATTCTGCTAATGTAGACACAACCAGAGTTCATTCATAAGAAATGCCATTTTTAATCCTCAGCCCCAAACTTCCAAGAAAGTCTTCTGAACAAAATTAAAAAATGCTAAAGAGCTGTCATTTAATAGTTACAGAAACTCCCACATTATATTCTCTCACTATTTCCCTTCCTGTCGTGTGTGAGCCGACCGGCATACACCATTTGTAGATGAATGCGCACTGTCCCGAGAGTGACATCACCAGTCTCATTTCTGAATGTGACTTGGGTAATGAAAAACGAAGATCCGCCTCTCTCTGTAGTAGATGTATGATTCGGAAAAGGAACTGGGGGATTATAAACGAAATAGGCCCCTAACAAGTCCATGCCTTACCGCCAGAGCTGAAGTCCACAGGTCCGATCCATTTGAAGGCTGGTTTACGGCCTCGCTCTTCTGTTACGTGCACCTTCTCGATCAGAGCCAAGCTGGTCAGGACATTGGCTATGTCATAGAGGCGTCGTACCTTTGCTTGAAGATATAAAACACAATTATGGTCACGCCGTCTGTGACACCATCACATTTCAGTTTACGCGACAGGTCGCTTTTCTTGGGCACTGTATAAACCTCACGGGGAAAGCAGTGGGGTGGGATGAAATGACCAATGGCTCTGTCATGAAATCACCCAGGATTCATGTATCTGAAGATGCATACTAAAGGAAGGTCAGTGTGTCCCTCCATTTCCACAACTTCACACCTTTTATAGGATAAGCCGGCAGTGCTGTCACTGCAAAAACACCTGAGGGAGGGAAACAGGCTATAATTAAAAGGCTTAGTAAATGTGATTCTGACATGTGACATGTCAAAAGCTGGCCCTGTGTTTCTCCCAGCAGGAAGTTGTGGCACCAGCTCCACCAGGCACTGGGCTGTGACAATGACAGGGATTCCCCAGAGCCTCCCATAAGGCTGCACTCCTGGGCGCACAGGGTGTTCAGGGCTCAAGGTCAGGAAGTACAACCGTGCTGAAGTCTGGCAGTTCTGCCCCAGAAATCATGGCCTTCTGGCCACTTATTGGGGGACGAGTAGAATGCGCAATCCCTGAGTTTTAAGAGATTTGGGGAGACATTTGAAAACGCACGTACTAGAGGAGGGATTCAGAAAGGGCAGCAACACATTAAATAGGGCTATGCCCACAAAGTGATTTCTATTTAAGAAACTGATTTACAAGTAGGAAACCCACTAGGCCTCAGGGCTAATATCAAGCAAAGGAACTCTGATTATCCAGAAACATCAAGCATTCACCCCAGATGTAATTTTCTTCCCAGTCCTAATAAAGCTGGATTTCATCTAGTCATTTCTCCCACAGGATGGCTATCATTCCAGCTGGAAACAATAACAAAAAAAAGCTTCAGAATGTTGAGCTCATGACTTCCCAGGGCTTGAAAGGGCTACAAGCAGATGAGGGCATTTGGCTCAGGACCCGTGTTTGACAGAAAAGGACGACACACTGAGTATGAAACTCGGAAACAGTCTCCTTGTCCGGCAGCCATGTCCCACCCGCCTTACCCTACCTGGTCATCCCTCTGCTACTTACCTGAAGACAACTTTCATCTCCACCCATCAGAAGAGTATGCAGGGGATGAGGAAAAAAGGGGAAACAAAACTCAGACACACTGTCCTGGATGCAGTGATACTAAAGAGAAATGCAAAATATCTTACGCCCTCCCTGACCTGCATTTGTGGGGTAGCATTCAGCTTTCATTGTCCACTCCAAGTGCTGAGAAAAAGGCATCAGACAGAGCTTTAAAGAGAATTCTAGTCTTCTCACAGCACCAAGAAACTTAATGAGTGCACTTCTCAAAAAAACAACAAAACAAAACAAAAAAGATTAATTCTTTTAATCTCAGAAGCACAAAATATCAATGTATGAAATCCCACTCGTTTTGTGCTAGGTGACTTTCGGTGAAGGCACTTACTTTTAAATTTACTGTGGTCCGGTGTATCTTGGCTTTCTTCTATCAGTATTTTGGCAGCCACATCAAGAGTAACAATCTTGGTTTTAGAGACAAGGAACAGCATGACGAATTTCTGGCTCATGATTCTCAGAGACTTGTCTTTTCTACTGTTTGCAGATGCTACAGAGAGAACAAAACAAAAGCATCAAAACAGATAATTTACCACAATAAGGATGATACTCATAGTTTGCATGAACTATCTAACACTACCAGTGGATGGAAAGATCACTCTTGTTACAGACAGCCTTTTCGGACACGTCATAAGAGATGGCTCATAAAGAAAGAAGAGAGATTTTCTTGCGGCTCATGAAATTACAGTAGGCATAAACTCTGAAATGTGTAGGTTAAATCACTCTTAATACTTTATACTCATACTTCATGGAATACAATCTATAAGGTAGATTTCTTAAAGCAACATTTGGACAGGATGAATGCAGGAGAACAGGATAGGGTAGGGATTGGGGACTGTTTTCAGAACATCAGCTCTCCCCTCAAAGTCAGGAATTCCATCCTTATTTCTCTGTACACACAATACAGGCATACTTCCTTTTACTGGGCGACCCTTTATTGTGCTTCATAGATGTTGCGTGTTTTACAAATTGAAGGCAAGACCCTCCACCAACAAAAAGATTATGACTCGCTCTATTGTGATACTGGCTCTATGTGGTGGTCAGGAGCCGATCCACAATGTCTCCGAGGTCTGTCTGTATCTAGAATATACCCTGAATATACCCACCACTTCCATTTCTTTTCAGAAACAGGTGAAGAAATGAACTATACATAAAAAGGAGACACTGATGAGATGTGTGTTGCTGCGGATGGCAGGCAAACCATCCCTGACAGATGGCTGTCACCTCTGGTTATCAGGATAAGAACTGGGTCTTGGGGTGGAATTACAACAAAACGCATGAGGCAGTAAATCGAATGAAAATCAGGCCCACCTTTCCATTCTTATTTCTTATATTTGCAAGTGAAATGTGAGTGACACTTACATTTGATCATCTTAGCAACATGGAGTAAGGTGAGAACAATGAAGATCAACCGTTACACCAAGAAGAGGATAAATATGAGTCGGGTGGGGAAGAACAATGTAAGTAAATAAGTAAAAAAAATATATCTGTATTAAATGGAAGCAGGGGTGGTCTATCTAATCAACACTTTCTGCGAATGGGGTTCTTTTCTAACTCATCTACTCCAATATATAATTTAGGAAATTGAATTCCTTGTAACGATAACTTCTTTCAAAGTACACTTTCCTTAAAGTCTCACAAATAGAAATCAGCATGGGGCTGTCACTCTGAAATGGGAGCTGTTAGCGATCCATGGCCCAAACACACCAAATACCAAGTGAACCGCCACCAGACAAGACAGGCTTCCAGGGAGGTCTAGTGGGCAGCCCAGTTGGGGAGCCATCTGTCTTCCTTTCTTCAGTAGAGAGAATAAGGACACCTCCCTCCAGGGTTGTCAATCTGGCACTTCCCATATTAGCAGTGACTCTCTTTCAGAAAAGACCATTACTCTGTTTATTCTATTGCTGATGTGGTTACATTGGACTCACAAGAGGGATAGTCGAGCTCAGAGAAATCCAGTAACGGAGGATCTGGATAGCCATCTTTTTTACGTTCTCCAAATCTGTAATCCATCAGGTCTAGCTCTCTCTGTTGGAGGTGTGCCATCTGCTCCTCATATTTCTGCTTCTCTCCTAGTCTCTGAAGGTTCCTCAGGGTTTTGGGCAGGCTGTGTCGTCCGTGCCAGCCATACTGATTTTTGGCCACCCGGCTGACCAGATGCAGCGACTCCAGCACATTTACAATGTCATAGATGCGTCTCCTTTCAACGCCTGTTTGAAAACACAGAAGCCAACCATCATCACGCAGGAAAACATTTTTGAGTATAAATCCCTTGAGGGCTTGGGCCATGTCTGGGAGCTACTGTGCATGAGGCCCAGTGTAATGCCTAGCACGTGTGGAAGCTCCACAAATTCAATCTGCAAGGATGCAAGCAACAGAAATCATTTTCCTTTCCTTTTCTTGGGATCCAACCCTCAGTAAAATCTAGGATAAAATATCCACCTCGAGAGCAGTCTTTTCTTTAGACCTGTCAGGCAAACATTTGAGCATGTTAAAATGGATGAGGTTGAGCTACACAAGTCCCAGGATGCCTAATGGGCACTTGATGACTGCTGGATGGTTGATTTTGACTTGTAGTCCTCATGTGCCCAATAGCTGATACCTTGTTTAGACAATACTATCCTTTCCTGGAGTTCAAATGATGTGATGTGAAATAATTATCTTGTTAACTCTCTTAATAGTCCAGTAAGGAAAACAGTAAATATTTTGTTTCTTATTTTGCACTGGAAACTTGGGATTCAAGAGCTTAGGCACCCTTCTCAAATTGCTAGAGAAGTTATAGCCAGGGCTGGAACGAAATGAGCACCCTTTTGCTCATCACAGCTATTGACAATACTCCCTGTGCTCTTATTCATTGTATCCTGCCAAATAGCCCAATGGTGAAGCACAGAGACTTCATGTACAATACAGATGGACCCTCAGGTTCATCAGTTCCCTACCCCTTTTCCCAATGTTCCCCAAATAGCCAGGATTATGAGCTATTGAATTTACCAAAAATGTTTATGGTGGTTCAACGTGGGAACTTTGGGACCAGACTGCCTGGATTTGAATCCCTGTGATGTCCCTGATCCATCAAGTGATCCTGGGAAGTTACTTAACCTGAATGTGCCTTAGTAGTTCTCATAAGATTTTGATGAAATGCGACCATCAACATACAGGGTCTCCAGTAGATGTTAACTTTATCTGTTTGTATGTAATTTTGAAAATATGTCCTGCATGGAGATACCTAAGATCCGTGCTAGCATGAAAGGTCAGAAATAGCTTTTAAGTCTCTTGTCTGTGACTCATTCTGTTATGCAGCAGGCCCTTAGGCTTTGGGAACCCAGGGCCCCTTTGCTCTCATCTAAGTATCCATAACACAAGCCTCCAGGCATCTCCCAGAAAACCAGCCCAGCTACAAAAATGCCCTCTTTCTGTTCGCTTGCCAGCAACTATTATGTAATCTGGGCAGACTCAGCGAATACAGCTTTCAGCACTTCAAAGATTTAACAGGATAAGTAGACCAAATTACAATGAGAACTCCGGAGCTGAGAGGATGTTCGTTCTATCACACGCATGAAGAGGCATTTCACAGTCAATCAGAACATTCCAGCTCATGACCCTGAAAGGCTCTTCACCCTCAGAAGCTCCGGCTTTGGTGCCAGATTCCTGCTGGAGGGTGCTGGCGGGGCAGTCGGCAGCCCCTTGTCCAGATCTGCCTGGTTTTTTATTCCAGTCTGTTTTCATATCTTAACATATCTTGTTTAGAGTGTAACATTCTATAAACCTTCCCATTAGAAATGTCATGTGAATGCAACTGAGACACCCCAGGGCCAGCCATATGCCTGGTTGTTTTGTTATTTTGTATTAGATACAAGCTGTTAAGTTTCCATCTAGTGGCTAGACATCCCAAGGGAAAATAGAGACTTCGACCACTTGGAGAGAAAGGTGATGCTAAATATGCACAATAAGTGTTTAGTAGGTGGGTTAGTCAAAGCCAGTGTGCAGCTGCTTGCCTGCATAATCACTCCCCTTTGCAACCTGGACTGAGTTTATCTGTGTACTTGGCAGGGGCACCAAAAAGTTCCATTTCATGAGTCTCAACATGTGCAGGTTACTGTGCTCTGTCAGGAAGGTTTTCCCTGGCACTCAGCCTTCATTTCCTTTTGTATCAAGGCACTCCTGTTAATCCTATTCATGGCACTAGTTATTCCCTCAAGGATTTACCAATTGTTACCATGCTCCCTGAGTCCCCAGGGAGCTTATCAAGCATATCTGTCAGCCCAGAAAAATAGTTTCTTAGGCTGTGCTATTTTTCAGTTAATAAGTCACTCCCAGTTCTGTAACATCCTGCCTATAACATCCATGTCAAATCTACCTGGGACCAGAATCTGGGAAACTACAATTTGAATCCTCTGCACATCTTTGGTTAAAATATGATCTTATAGCTTGTGACCTGGGAGGTAGCAAGGAGTTTAGTTGCAGCCCGAAGAGATGGTCACCAGTGAAATAACGTCCAGGAAGGGGCCTCATTTTCCAACCTCACATGAAGAGAGACGGCAAGTTCATTTGATCAATGATTACATGCTGTTGCAAAAATCTCTGGAGTTCTGCTCCGGGCAGTTACAACATGGGGATGTGCAGTCCATAAAAAAGTAGGAGTCCACTTCCCTGTCCTCCCTGAGACCTGTAACATGGCCTTCCAACATCTAATCTGTCTTCTGCACTGACATCAGTGCAAGGTCCCTTGATGGAAGTTGGGTGTATGGAGGAAACTGGCTTCATGAACCCCAAAGAGAAGTACACTGTGTGATTTATTGTTTTACCCTCATCCTCTATAAGAATAGTGTCCAAGACGCTGTGCCTCAACTGGGTTTACAACAAACCTCTATACAGCTGGGTCCTTTTCCCCTTCTTGTATCATTGCCACTGATGCCAAATACTGTATTATTCTACTCTGGGTTTCATAATGGCTCCCCCAGCAAAGCACTCTACTTCCTCTTCATAACGGTAGAAGCTGAAATGACAGCTTAGGGAAGGGGAGTGCTCAGTAAGAGCTGAGTAAAGCTGTTCCATGTAACAATACGAGTTACCCATGCCAGGCCCTGAGTTAGGCATGTTATTGAGATTATCTCAGTTTTGCTAAGTTTCTGCAAGGCAGGTGCTATAGTCCCTATGTTATAGATGAGAAATGGTGTGTTAACTTTTTACAGCTCCCACAGACTGTAAAGTGGAGAGTTGGGCTTCAAATCCAGCCCTATCTGACCCCAAACCCCAGCCCATGGTCTTCCCATCACAACCTATTGCCTCCTCATTATCTCAGTTTCCAGCAAATAAAATCTTTCTAGCCATCAGTTTGAATAACTCAGATTGACAGTCATCTACGGGTGCATATATCTCTGGGCTATGGGAAGAAATAGAACTTAAACAAACTAAAAATATAATCTGTCATAAAGCCTATCTAGCTGATTTCTTTGGGACTTTTTTTTTTTTGGCCTGTATGTAAAACCTCCTTATTTTTTAAGGAGACTCCTCACACCTTCAATTCTTTGTGATTTCCACTTATTTAATGATTGTCCACAGTATTCATCCTGAAACCAATTGCAATCCATGTCCACTAGGGGTCGCTATTCCAAAGCTGCTGTATACACATTTATAGAACATACGCCATTATGATGTGCACATTATCCACACCCATGCCATGTGAACACATGGATTCCTCTTTGTTATAAGGTTTGGCTGTTTGAGTTATGTCCAGATGTGCTTCTAGTTTGGCAGGCATGCTGTGAATATCACAGCACAGGGCTTCAAACATAATGCTGTGGCTCTTCAATTCTTGCTTTATGATAGAAACAACACCAGTTCTGAACCCTTAGAAGTGTTATTAAAAATAAACAGCAGGATATTTCTAAATATTTTTTTGAGTCTGTCTGAAATATGATGAAATGAAAATAGGAGATATTACTTTGTAATCTGAGTCTTCTGTAAAAATATTTTCTAAGGTTAAGAAAACCAAATTTCTGTTTGACGCTCAGGCCTACAAGGCTCCCTGGAATCCTATGCATAACGATGAGCAACTTGATAATGGCAGAAGGGAGCGCTACTTGCTCCTCTGTCCTCACTCCCTGGAAGGCACACTCTTTACTTACTAAAAGAAGCTATCTGAAGTCTAAAGCCTGCCCAAGGAAACGTTTCCCACTATAACTGGAGACCGGTCTCCAGGTAACCTGGTGATACATACCAAGACTGACAGCAACTTCATCTAGGGAGATGGTAGTTTTCTCAGTTGACAAGGGATAACTTGGGTAGCGAGCTAGAAACTTCTGGCACAGGAGTCCTAAACTTTTCTGTTTTCTGCTTGGCCTTCGCTTTTGAAATATGTCCACAGCACTGTCCCCAACATCAAGCTACAGAGGGTAGACAAAAGGGAGGGGGGGAGATGTCACGGTTAACACCCTAACGGAGAAACTGCAATGGCCAGGACTGGCAAGTTGGGGGAACATCCTATTCCATACCTACAGGTGCTAGTTAAAAATACATTTCCTAATTGAATTTTCTTAACAGTTTACCAATTGCTTTCTCTGGACTTATTATTTTTTTTCCTTTGCAATTTGAGGCTGAGTCTACTGGTTAAAAGCTTAAAAATGAACAACGCAGTCATTTATAGGTTGCTACACTCTTGCTAGTAATGTGCTTGTTGGACAGATCAGCATCACCAGGAGCTTGTCAGAGATGTAAAATCAGGCCTCATCTTAGACCTAATCTATTAGAATCTGCCTTTTCAGAAGGTCCTGGGTGCTTTCTATTGACATGAAATTTAAGATACACTGGCCACTGTCGTCAAACTTTTATTTTTTTTTACAGTTGACCAAGTATTGACAGAACTGAACAAGGTCAGCAAAATTTTATTCTTCCTTATTTTTTCTTATTGTAACTACACTAAACTGGTGGCCTTGTCTCATCAACCCACATCTCAAATCCAGTGCCGAGAAAGTAAAAGGTTTTTCAATGAACACATTCAAGGAGAAAAGTGATATGGTCATCTCAATAGCCTCAGAAAAAGCATTTAATAAATTTAACACCCATTCATGATTTTCAAAACTGCCCTTAGAAAGCTAAGAATGAATAACTTTTTTAATAAAGTGTATCCATAAAAACCCAACTGCAAACATCTGTCTTAATGGGAAAGAAAACCTTGGAAGCATTCTCTTAAAATCAGGAAAAAGAAGTGATAAGGATATGCCTCTTCTACAACATGTTGGAGATCCTAGCCTTGCAAGAGGACAAGAAAAAGAAACCAAGGTGCAGAAATTGAAAAAGGATAAGCAAACTTTCATTCTGCAGCAGACAAGATTGTTTACATAAAAACTCAAAAGAATCTCAGACTAAAAATAGTAAGAGAATTTAGCAAGGTAAGACAAGACTCTATATTTTGAAAAGTTAGCTGCATTGCTAAACAATAGTAACATAAAATGAATTGAAAAGACATGATTTATAATAGCAATAAGAATGATAAAGTTTTTATGAACAAGTCTGGCAAATATTTACATAAAATGTTAAAATTTACATCTTCAAGAAATATACTTAAAAGTTAGAGAAATATACTTACAATCTTCATGGATGGAAGAACTCAGTATAAAGAGGTTAATTCTCTAATTAATCTACATATAATGCAATTATAATTAAAATCCAAACTAAAGTGCATATGGAAGAAAAAAAGGCAAAGAATAGCCCACACACTCTAAAGGAAAATAAATTGACGTTCTTGCTTTACCTGATATGAAGGTTTTTTACAATATAGTATTGGTATGGGGATCGAAAAACTGACCAATGAATCAGAAAAGAGCCCAGAGAAAGATTCACACACAAATGAAACTTTGACATATGACAGAGTGGAATTACCAATTAAGGAGAAGAGGAAGGACTGATGAAGGACTGATAAGTAATACAGGGACAACTGATTATAAGAAGCTACATGAAGGGAAAATACAGGCACCAAATTGAAATGTAACACGTATAACTGATAAAAGATTTAGTTTCATAAATATACAATAAACTCTACAAATCAATAAACATCAGCAAAGAATATGAACAGGTATCAATATTTCACAGAAGAGGAAAAAGCATGGTGGGCGGTAAAGATGTAGAAAGATGCTTAACCTCATTAGTAACCAAAGAAAAAAACAAATGAATACCACAATATATAACTGTACATCCACTAGATTGGCAGAAATTAGTAAATTTGAGAATTTAAAGTGTCCGAGAGGATGTGGATCAATATATGTTTACACATTACTGGCGGAAGCAAATAGCACTTGGCAAAACAATTTGAAGTTATCTTGTATGTGAATATCCAACAACCTAGCAATTCAACTACTAGGTGTATACCGTAGAATAGTAGTCCTCAAACTTTTTGGTCATAGGATTCCTTTATATTCTTAAAAATTACTGAGGAATACCTTTTTTAAAAATTGGTTCTTTATTAACCTTTTGATGAAAATTTGGTCATATAAAATACACTAATCATGTATGGACTGACTGATACCCAAGAATCTACCACCTAACCCCCAAACCAGAATACTATTAATTTACATTTGTCTACCCCACAGAGTAACCTCTCTCTTGAATTTGCATTTATCATTTCCTTACCATTTTAAAATCACTCTATCACCTATGTGTGTATTCCTACATAATATGTTGCTTAGGTTTGTTTTGTTTGGGTTTTAGTTTTCTGGGACTTGCTTTTTTCAATCAACATACAGCAGGTCCTTGAATAATGTTAATTAGTTCAACAACCTTTTGTTAATAATGTAGATGAGATGCTGTAGGACTTTAACTCTTGTTTATATCAATTAGCCTATGGTAAAATCGGTTTCGTTATCTGCCATTTCATGTAAAGTCACAGAATCTATCAACAATGTTAAGTGAGGACTTACTGTACATAATTAAGATTCATGTTCTTGCATGTAGCTGTAGTGCTCTCATTTTCACTGCTGTATGATAATCTGTTGCATAAATATACCGCAATTTATTTATCCATTTTCCTGCTTATAATGACTTGCGTTGTTGCCAGTTTGGGCTAATAGGAACTATACTGCTATGATATTCTTGTTATATTATGTCTCCTGGTGTACATAAATAGGGGTTTCTCTACAGCAGTGGTTCTCGAAGTGTGATCTTATTTGTATTCAGTTACATGAAAGAATCTGTTACTTTTAACCACTGCAATAAAGATGCAGTTCGTTTTGTTCTATTAATTTCAAGTTGTAATTTGGGGCATATTTTTCTCTTCTTTCTTCCCAATTTACTCATTTTGGTAATTTTTATAGATTAAAAAAATCCACCAAGATGAGGAAAAATGGAAGAGAAATAACATTCAAATCTGTGAGTAACTTTTCTTAGCAAGTCTGGGGGAAAGTTTGATGGGAGAGTGAAAATACTGATCACAGATTTTTTTAAAAAAAGTATAGATATGCTGCTTATTCAATAGCTCTGGCTCCCTATAGTACATGTAATTTATTAAACTGATAAGAACAGATACTACACTTGATCTTAGCCAAAAGGCCGAGAAGCGATAGTACATGTAATTTAAAGATGACTTAACTTCAAAGCCCCAAACCAACGAAATGAACATATATAAGAATGAAATTTCCCAAGTCAAAAATACTTAGATTAATATTACTCTTCAAATTAGAGCAAAATTAAATTTCACAACAGCATTTAAAAAATTCCAAATTCCCTCATTAAATCAAAGTTATTAAATATTGTTTAAAAAATTTATTTTTAAAATGTGTACTGGTCACAGAGGTATGGTATCATAAAGAAAAGAAAGCATTCATAATGAAAATTGAGACACAGAGCGAGAGTTCCATTTCAGCAATATGCTATATAAAAAGAATTTAAAACTGCTTTTGACCCAGGAATAGCTGCAATATTGATAATTCTGATTTTTTAAATAATCAAGTAAACGTTTTAAACTCTGTAAGAGCCCTTGGGAGTGCATCCTGTTTACCTGTAGAGAGTCTGGAAACGCATTATCCTTGTTCTCAATGGGCCTGAACAGTCCCTTTTTCTTCTCCCGGTCTCTTATGTCCGGGCTGGCAGCACTAATGAGCATCTTCAGGTTAGCTGTGGGCGTCCATGGTTCTGCCTGTTTGTCAGCAAGCTTTACTGGAGTAATGGGATTCCTTTCTGGAGTGAAGATTTTTTGCAACGATAAGTCAATTGGTTCATTTTTGATTGGAGTCTTTGGGGCCATCCTTGATGGATCAACAAATATATTTTCCTATTTTAAAAAAGAGACCTTTTAGCAAGAATGAGAAAGGGCAGCTATCAGCTAAGGAACACTTTGTACCCACCATGAAAATACAAACAGACCATATGTTCAGGGCTGAAAAATATTAGGGTAGGACTAATGAAAACAGAAGGATACATGGAAATCGAGGAGAGGCTCCAATGAGAAACCGATTATAGCCTGCTACTCCTGTTGTGCATATTTTTCGTGGCACCTCTGTGAAAAAGTCACGAATGTATTCTGTCACTGGTGGATGCTTGTAATAGTTGGGGATGAGAAGGGCAAATGTGAATTGATTCCACATGCTCCTTAGTGCCATATTTTTAAAAACACTATGTATAAGTTTGCACGAACTAGCGAAGAGCTTTATGCTTTTGTAGCTCCGTGTTCACCAGTGCTAATATAGCTTAGCGGGACTGATTAATGGAAGTGCACCCAACAAAATGCCACATTTCACACAAACCTGCAGAACTGTCTAATGTTATTCACTCAGTGCAGTGCTTCTCAAACCATCCATGGTGAAAGACCAGAGTTTTTTATTTTGGAATTCCCACATCCTGATATGTGGTTTCACTTCATAGGACTTATAAACAACCCTATGTGAGTCTCCACTTGAGTTTGCCAATCAAACTGATCTACAGCCTGTTCAACAAGAAGAGACCACTGATCACAGGCTTAGATGTCATGAGGGCAATACAAATTGTTATAGAGGTTTCTAAGTGCTTAACTCTCCTGTTCTGTTCTTTCTTTTTTGCAGCTTGGTAGTGCTTTGTGGAGTAAAACCTGCCCTCAGATCACACTTCGAGTAGAATATTTTTGATAACTGTAAGAAAAGGTTAATGACAGGTCCATTATGTCCATCAGTCTGTTGTGAAATAGGATTGTGTATACAGAACCCACATTTGGGACTACCAAGTAATTAAAACAAATTTCTTTCCCCTGAAACCAGTTTTTGGCATTCAAAATCAGAAACATTCTGCTCTTCCTGTAGCAGAATTCACCTCGAGGCTACAGTGTCTTATATAATTATGAAGGTGGGTGAGTTAAATATTTTGTCACCCCTTTTCCTGTGCACGTATCACTGTATAGCTACTGCATGTTTGGATTGTGGTTGAGCTGTGGTTTGAAAAAAAGTGCTCTCTTATAAATGAGCAACATGTAATGAAGGAAAAGGTTGTTTGGGAGAAACTGGAGTTTTTGTTAGCATGCCAACTCTTGTTCTTTGGATTAGCAGAAGCTGCCAGCTAGCCATGATGAGGTTCCATCCTACTGTAACAGGAAGGAAGGGGGCGGGCATGGAAGTGACGGTTTCTCACGCCACAGAGGCAGTAAGCATCCAGCCTGGGGCGCTGCACCTACTGACATCTCTTAACAAGTTGCTACTAGTGTGCAGTTTTGACAAAGTCATCTGCAACGGAACTCTCCAGGGAAAGCATTGAGTGTTTCCTATGTGCCATACAGTATCTCATGGACTTTACATAATATTAACTCCTCATCTAATCCTGTGACCTACGTACTATTATTTTTCCAGTCTATAGATGAAGAGACTGCGGCACAGAGAGGTTAAATAACTTGCTGGAGATCACATACAATCTCATTGGTATAAAAGTTAACGGGTATGCAAAAAATTCAAATGCAGAAAGCAGGAGTCTGAAATTCTGCATCTAGAAATAAGCTTATCCTGGATGCGAGAAGGGCAGGAGTTATCGTTTTTATAGCCCCAACATAATATACCCAGCCAGCCCCACTCGCATCTGTGGGGCGGCAGAATGGGGAAGCAGTTGTGCACACAGGCTCTAGGGCCAGTTTACTTGCCTCTGCTTACTTATCAGCAGCGTGAGGGAGGGCAAGTTCCTTCTTGGCACTAGACTTTAATTCTCTCAACTGAAATGAAGTTCATAAAAATACCAACCACAAGGGTTATGTGAATAGTTCCTGGCATATAGAAAGCAGGCGATGAAACTTAGGCATACTATTATCTTTTCCCTTTTCCATTCTTTTTTAAAAAAAGATTTTATTGGGGAATTTGGGGGAGAGAACAGCGTTGGGGAATCAGGAAAGGGGAACAGACAAGTTGCTGTCCTTTTGTTCTTCAGGCTAGTTGTGGAGGACGTTGCTTCAATGGCCCAAGTTGGTATTATCATTGCGCTTTTCCCGAGTGAGGCAGATGGGTCGCCAGCTATTGAACGGCCCCTCATGGCGCCTCCTGGCAGCTCACGCCACCTGCCGGCTGCTCACGGTAGCTTACAGCAGCCTATTGCAGCCCCACTATAGCCTATGGCATCGCCAGCGACTCACGGCAGCCCAGCTCCAGGTGGAGCTGTTGTTCACCATCTTAGCTGTAGAGGGCACAGCGTCACTGGCCCATGTAGGATCCAAACCAGCAGCTCTGCTGCTCAGAGCTTGAGCTCCCAAGCCAACTCTTAACCAATGAGCCACTTGGCCAGTCCCCATTCTTTATTACCATTCATCCTGATGCTCAAAGCTAATATATTTAATTTCTTGTATGTCTTGTCTCATTAACGAGACTGTGCACTTCTTGAGATCAGGGAGCAAGTTCCACAAGTCTCATTCCTCACAGTTTTTGGCATAATGCCTTGCCCCTTATAAGATGTTCAGAGAACATGGTGCCTTGATTATCTAGTTATTCGAAAAGGTATCCACACAGTAGAGGGTGTGGTCCAGGCTTTGCTACCTTCCATGGTACCTTACTTTTTCCCTACCGAGGAGCAATTCAGATGGATTATTTCCTCCAACAGTTTGTTATATTTTCACTGCAGCTTAAGTAATACAGATGCACCTGGACTTATGATGAAGTTATATCCCAACAAACCAATCGTAAGTTGAAAATATCATAAGTCGAAAATGCATTTAATATACCTAACCTATCAACCTCATAGCTTAGCCTAGCCTACCTTAAACATGCTCAGAACACTTACATTAAAGGGATGTAACCCTATAGTAAGTTGAGGAGCATCTGTAAGCCCCTTCCTCTTCTCACCAGAAGCAGAAGACACAGATGGGAATTTTGTAGACATGATGGGATGTGAAAACACGAAACACAATATCCCAAAATGCCAGAATACAGTACACTTCAGAGTATCGGTCATTTACCCTCGTGATCACCTGGCTGACTGGGACCTGCAGCTCACTGCCGCTGCCCAGCATCACGAAAGAGTAGCCTTCCGCTTATCACTAGCCCAGGGAAAGATCCAAATTCAAAATTCAAAGTAGTTTCACACCACTGTAAAGTTGAATGATCGTAAGTTGAACCATCATTCAGGACCAACAGTTAGGTTATCTGGCAGGCTGTGACTGTATCACACTGCCACAACAAAAGAAAAAAAAATGCCGAGTAAATTGTTTTACAAGGTCTCAGGTGGGCAGAAAGTTGAATGCTATCTTTTTGCACCCTGCGCCATCAGTGTGTCTATCTTGCAATCCTGATGCTGTATAATGCAGTGAGTGGAAAGGGGATTAGAATGAGAATTCAGAAAACTGGTTTTTGTCTCAGCTCTGTATCTTTTGGTACTGGATAAACTGTTCATTCTGTTTTGGCCCAAGTTTCCTGATCCATAAAATAAGGGGTTCGGACTAAAGTCTCTTATCTCCAAGGCTTTCCAGCAAGGCTGCCAATTGTGTGGTGGACACTGAGATGCTCTCAGACCTCTTCAGGAATGAATTGCTCCTTGCTCCAGCTGCTGGAAGTAATGCCACAGGAAGTCTCTTCCTGCCTTGGCTGAAGAGGGCTGACTCATCTGGGAGCATGATGGCTGGTAGAGGTAGTACTGACATGCACGAGTAAAAGCCTGGCCCCTTTGTCCTTACTCAGGACTGATCTAAGGGGTCATCCTAGAACTCTCTGTAGGGTAAACTCAGACTTCTACTGAGATGTTTGTAGACCCGTGTCTCCCTCTGCAGTTGTTGCCTTCCCTTTCACAGGCACTGATCCTCAGAGCACTCCCTATAAACCTCCTACACACTAAGCTCCATGTCAGATCTGCTTGCCAGGAAATCTAAGCTGCAAAACCCTGGAAATCACTTCCTCCTTTAGAAAGAGCCTGGAGAAAGTAACCCATGAAACAGGTTGTCGTATGTAAATGGAGGTAACACACCTTGGCTTACCTGCCATTGAGTTGCTGTAAGGATCAGATCAGATAATGAAGGTGAAAGCAGTTTGTACTTGGTGAAGTACTATACAAATGTTCAAGGTTATTATTAATTATCCCAGCATTACGACTATGCTGCATGCTGCCACAGAAAGGGCTTTGTAGATAAAAGATCTTGGTTTCAGTCTTGCTTCCATTGCAGATACAGCTTTGGTTATGTTAATAGATACATTCATCGGCCTTGTCACGGCCCTGGGCATGATTTTGCCAACCACTTTTCGAGTTCCATCTCATGCAGATTCCACATTCTGCTCCAAGAGTTCACTCGCTTTTCTTAAACCTGCCCTGCACTTTATCACATCTGAGCTGTTGCTCACACCATCACTTGGTCTTTACAGCCATTGGCTAAGCTTTGCCCATTGAAACCCTACCTATTAAGGCTCACTGCAAAGAAGACAGGCTAGGAAGTATCTCCTTCTAGCTAGTGACTAACAACTCTCCTTCTCTTCAGTGCACACTTTTTAGAATGCATAATTCACACTGAGGGCATTCCCCTGCCCACGTCCCAGGGGTTCTTCAAACTATCAGTGTGTTGTGATCCACTGCTTCTCACTCAGGTCACCTCTCAGGTGCCAAATCAACAGCAGAATACCTCACTTGACCTTGCTGCAGTGGTTAAGACTGTTGACTGTTCTTTGCTCTATAAAACTGTCAGTCCTTCTAGGTAGCTCTGTTTCTGTTGGTTCTCTTCCTATTTCTCTGACTGCTCCCTCTCCGTCCCCTTCACTGGTTCCTCTTTTCCATGCTTACAAAGCTCAGACCTTTACTCCACTCTGTTTGCTCTCTCTGGGCTAGTTCACTACTCTTTTGTACATTGCTTTAAAACCAAACTGTCTGTTGATTACTCCCAAGTTTGTGCCTGGCTAGCACCTTCCATGAGTTCCAAAGTCAGGCAACCTGCTGCCTCCTACACATATTTATTTACCTGTAATCACACAGGTACAGGAACATATTTCAAATTGAACTTATCTTCTTTCTTAACCGTTGCGCTTCAAAGAAAACTTGTGCCCACCACGTCTAGATGTTATCCCCAAATATACCACATTCATTTCTACTTCTTTACTAGTTTCCTTCCTCTCTACTTGCCTAAGTCTTAACCTTCGTTCCTTGAAGCCCCAGGTCAAGTGTTATCTCCTTCACAAAGCCCTCCCCACAGCTCAGTCCTTATTGTTCACCTCTTCCTCCCAAATCATCCATTTTCTACTCCTGTTGTGCCTAAATGCACTGCAAACAATTTACAAGTTTTGTTTATAATCCCACAAGTGGGCACAGTAAATTTGGGTAATAAAGTTGAAAACTCCTTTGTTTTAAAGAAGTTTCCCTATGAGTAGTAAGAAGATGCATGTATAATACAGTACTTATATAAGAATTCTTGACCAGTCAAGAACGATAAATGCTCTAAATGCTAACTGCTCCACAAGACACAGTAGCAGGCATCCCTCAGAGGGTTTCAAGAAGGAACTACACAGCACCACTAGCTTCTGGCCGCTTGGGATCTCTTGAACATTTCTTTAATGCCCACCCCTCATGCTGTTTCTTATGCCTAAAACGTCTCTTTTCTCACTCGTTTTCTTGTAGGTTGAACGTCCTCAGCCCAAATATTAGCTCCTCTGTGAAGCCTTCCAATTCAACTAGACTCCCCACGGATTTATTTCTCCCTCTTCTGTTCTGCAGGGGTCTCTTTGTTCCCACTCCTATTATAGCACTTACCAAACCATAGTACAGTTGGTTAGTTTTACATCCGAGTCCCTGATGGTCTCTCAGGTAATGGAGGCAGGGCCTGCATCATATTCATCGTTGGCTTGTTAGTTTGAGTACAGTGTGAACAGTATGTGTTGCTGGGTGCCTTACAAAAATCCAAAGGGGGAAGTGCTATTTATTAGCTCCAATTTATGGAAGAAAGAAACAGGCTTAACGAGGTTAGGAGACTTATTAAACCACTGTACCCCCAGCAATTGGAACATAAATATTTGTTGAAATACTGAATAAATATATCTGTTCAAGGTTACATAACTAATAAATGGCAGAGCAGGACATCAAGCCCAGACCTCTCCGGCTCCAAATCCCATGTTCTTACCATCCCTAGAAATCACTCTTTCTTCACAGCAATGTGAAACAACCCTTCCTAGCATCTGGGCAGAAGCATTATGTTCTCATCCCTTGCCTTTTCTTTGAGAAGCAAAACAATTCCTGCTCACACATTCCATTTCAAACATTTTAACCACTTTCCTAGTCTATTTGGAGTCACTTGAGTTTTTCTCCACACCCATTAGAATGTGAACTCTCAACTGGACATAGCACTTACTGACGCTAACTAGCGTAGAAGTGCCCTTGCTGAAGACACTTGATAAAAAGTCGCTGACCCAGAAGGAAAAAAGCAGACACTGACTTAGGCGTTACATCAATGTATACATATTCTTTCAAGGCTGTCCCATCCAAATTATAAAGGAAACAAAAAGTTTTGCTCTGAAACTCCCAAAGCCCAAACTCTGAATATATACTTTAAAGTTTGGGCATTTCCACCCTCATATAGCTTAGGTAATTTTTTTAAAAGTCCTCTTTAAATCAGTAATGCTTTGGAGTACTTCTTTTCCTAACAAAAATAAATCAAATGCCAGGAAAACAAAACAAAACAAAAACTTGGAAAAGCATACAATTTCACACCTATCCGAAATTAATGGTTGTCAAATATTCTTCAAAGGTGCTTTGCAACCAGGCAGTTTCATTCATTGTTGATGCTAAGTCTAAAATTCAGCCCAAGATCCTGGAGAAGTTCAATGCCCAAAGAAGTTGTTATGCTCAGATTTATATTCTCACTTTCTAAATCTGGGCTTGTTCGAGCTATTTGCCTTTGCCTAAAATGCTTAGATGTTCGCTACTAACAAGCTATTACACATTTTCAGTAGGGCACTGGTTGGTGAGTATAACTGTGCTGATGTGGGTATGGTGATAGTTTAGATATTGCTATGGCCAGTTTACTTGTTAATATTTCTTGAACACACCACCATGGCCTTACAAATCACAAGCGGTGTAAAAAAGGAGAGATGACTCAGTGCAAAACCAGATCAGAAGTACTACTGTAAAATATTCAAAAAGTATGTTGGTGGGCTCAGTCACTTATCTCCCTATATGGCAGGCATGGGGTCACACTCTTGGGTGAGTGGAACAGCGTCTAGGTGCTGATTAATGTGTATGAAGAACACTTCATGGCATTTTAATAATCCAGGATATATAGCAAAAAACGTCTATTTTCCGGGCAACTGAGGCTTAACATTCCTGCACAGCATTAGCTAATTCCACTTTTGACAACTACAAATTTTTGATTGCAGCATCCAGCATATCTTTGATTCATATAAATTGTTTCCAGTATTACATCTAACCCAGCCCCTTTCCACGGCATGGTGACGGAGAAATTCAATGTTTGGATGCTTCCATTAAAAAAGTATATTTCTAAAATTAATTAGGTATATAAGACAAATACAAGTGGCATATGAAAACATTTAACTGAATTAGACATCACCATCCTAAACATGTTCCAGCTTAAGGTATTTAAGTGCACTTACCTTTTGTGCATTTTCCCCATCTTTAATTGCAAAATCTAGTCTGGGCTGCCTGGGGTTGATCAGGTCTTTTAGTGTTAAACAATTTACTTCCATCTGTAATGCACAATTACATTAGAAAATGATTTTACCATTGGATGTTTTCTCCTCCAACCAAAATATCTATTACTTGTTCGTGAACGTGAACTTCCCCTCCCTAAACTGATCCTGGGAATTTCCAGGAGCCTAGCCACCCCCAACTCTAAAACGCACATGAATAACACAAACACTTACTAATTACTGAAAACTTGGGTAGGAAAAGCAAAATCGACAAAAATTATGGTTTTTAATGAAAAGTAACAGAACAAAGTAAAGTTACCAGGTCAGGAGGGTGGAGGGCAAATCTGTCTACAGGGTCTCCTGGGTCAGTTAATTTTGGCGCAAAGAACTAGGAGGAATTCGGCTTTGAGGGGGTTTGAATGGGGGGGGGGGGTAGAAACCTGATCGCTAGACCAAACCCACTCAACGCTTAGCGCAGCTTTCTCAGGCTTCCAAGAAGACCCGAAGTATAAACTCTCCCAATGAACCCCCCAAATCGCAAGGGTAAGTCCCCTCTACTGCCCAGCCAGAGGAGAGCTGGAGCCAGACACCCCACGCGCGCCTGGTCTGGTAGCAGAAATTCCTCAATTATCCGCCACCCGGGAAGTGGAAAGGTGGCAGGCTGGCCCCCGGGGCAGGAGGGGTCCCCTCTACCCCCAATTCCCGCTTGCCCGCCAGCGCTGGGGCCGCACGCTACTTACTGTGGCTTTGCGAAGGCTTCCTGCCTATGGGGACCTCCACGGCCTCACATCAGAGCGGGATCAGCCGGGCGAGGCGATCAGCAGCCGAGCAGCGACATCACGCATGGAAAGCCAAGCGCGCAGACCCGGGTTCCGAACGCCGTGCGCTGGCTGGAATCCCGCCGCGCCGGGACAGCACCAGCGTTCAGACACGCCGATCGCGACTGCAGCCCAGGATCGCAGTCCCCGCTAAAACACCTCCTCTGGCGCCTTGAGACCGAATTTGAGAATCCACCAATCAGCGGCGGCCGGGGGGGCGGCCCCGGCCAATCGCGCGGCGGCACAACCCGGGCTTGCCGCCCCTTGGAGCCTTGGCGCTCCTGGCCGCGCGTTTCGCTCTCACCCGCCCAATTGTTGCCGCTTTGGCCCCCTCCCCCTTCCGGGTACCTGGAAACCTTGGGCCTGGGAGCCAATTCCTGCTGAGGACGCGGACCCGGGCGGCCGCGGGAAGCCAAGGTGGGGGCGGGCGGGGCGGCGGGAGGAGGAGGAGGAGTGCTCTTTTGTTATGCATAGAAGACCCGCTCTAGTTCCCTGGACTTGCCGCGCGGGGAGATCGCGGGCACAGTCATGGGAAGGGGAAGCAGATGGAGTTTGGAAAAACGATATACACACTCTGGATGCTGCTGCCGCCACCTCCTGCCCCCAGCAACCTGCGCAGAAGCCAAGTTGTCCAGGCTTGTTGGGGCAAACTTCCTAACACCGAACTCTGCTGTGACACGTGAACCATGGTTACCACTGTGCTGCTGCGAGCAGATGGCACGCCAGTTAGCCCTGGAAACTAGGCTGCAAGCAGAACCAGCTGTTTTATGTTTTCCTTTTCTTGCAAGTCCGGAAAAGTTTCTTGGTAGTGTTCCCATTTCAGAACATCGGCAATAATTAGGGGAAGAAAAGGACTTATTAAACAATTCTTTGCAGTATGGGCTAGCATTCCGGGAAACAGTTGAGAAAATTTCCTCAACATTACTGATTTGTATTAAATGTTTCACTTCCTCAACTTCAGTTTCTTATTTAAAATATAAATATTGATAGAGACAGTCGTGTGTGTGTGTGTGTGTGTGTTAATAGACATTATTGTTTAGAGCAGTTTCAAATTTACAGAAAAATTGAGAAGCTGGACAGAGAGTTCCCGTATATCTAGCAACCCATTTCACCTATTTATTAACATTTTACTTTTGTATAATACTTTTGTTAAAATTAACAAACCAATATTGACATATTATTCTGAACCAAAGTCGTTACTTTATTTAGATTTCCTTAATTTTTGCCTAATGTCTTTTTTCTCTTTCAGGATACCACATTACATTTAGCCTTCATGTCACCTTAGGCTCCTCTTGGCTGTGACGGTATCTCATACGGTACTTTCCTCATTTTTGATGACCTTGACAGTTTTGAAGAGTACTGGTAAGTCATTTTGTAGGATGTCCCGCTATTGGAATTTGAGACAGACTTCTTAAAGCATGTCTACAAATATTTTTTTATAAACCATATACTTTACAGCAATGGTATCATTCTCCCTGTTATCCTTTCTGTACCAAGTGCTCCATCCTCCATCTCTCATCATCATATATATATATATATACATATATATATATATATGTTCTAAACAGACTGTCTGCAGAATTTAGAATGCTCAGTGAAGCCCTTCACTTTGTACTCTGTTTAGATGCTGATAAATACAGCCTAAAAAAATCACTGCTAGGTCATATGTTAAAAAGACAAAGAAGTATGGATACCTTAAACATAAAGAAAACAATGGTAATACAAATTTGTCATTTTTATATTAGAAATGACATTTTGCACTGACATCTGTCTTGCAGGGTAGAAGCCTAAGGAGGCAAGTATAAAGGATAACATTGCAATTTATTAAATTTTGCACTTATGTGGAAACAGTACATTTCAATGAGGAAATGTTTTTTTCCAACTGTATTAAATTTACCGTTGCTGCTGTAACAAATGATCACAAACTGGTTGGTTTAGAGCAGAAGCGATAGTTCTGAAGGCCGGAAGTCCGAAATCAAGCCCCACACTCCCGGGGCTCTAGAGAACAATCTGTTCTTTGCCTCTTGCCGCTTCTGGAATCCTTGATTACAGCTCCCTCACTCATCTCTGAGATCTCTGCCTCAGTGGCCACATTGCCTTCTGTCTGTTAAACCTCTCCTGTGTCTCTCTCTTATAAGGACACTTGTTATTGAATTTAGGTTCCACCTGTATAATCCAGGATGGTTTTATCTCAAAATCCTTAACTAAATTACATCTGCAAAGAACGCTTTTCCAAATAAGGTGACATTCACAGGTTCCAGGGATTAGGAGGTGGGTATACCTTTTTCTGGGGCCCACTATACAGCCTTCTGGACCCACATTCTAATTATTAAAAGTCTATTAATTTCCCTGATATTTCAAAATAATAGTGGTTGTTTCTTTGAGGTGAGGCAGTTTTATATTACAGATCTTTTCCTAGCTTTTTCAGAGTATTTTTCTTCTATGTATTTCAGTTGAAATGTAGCCACTATTCAAAACAAGAAAACCTCAATATGTAGCTTCAGACACTGGTAATTTCATAGATTGTTTAAAGTAAGATTGATCTTAGATTTGGAGGAAAACTGGAAAATAAATGTTTGATGGGCAAATTTAGAGACACTACTCCAACACTCCTACTTGTATTGATACTCTCAAGTCCTAGAATTTGTAAATAATCAGTCAGTCTCTGTTATTCAATTGACACTGATGGTGTCTGGGAACTTGGGTGGGGCACTGAGTCCCTGTATGTGGGTTTTCCATGTGGCCTGATCTCCCCTCCAGCATGTGGCTAATGTAGTTAGACTTACGTGGTGGCTCAGGGCTTCGATAATGTCCTGACTCACAAGGTGGAAGTTACATTGCCTTTTGTGATGTAGCCTCAGAACTAAACATCAATTCTGCCGTATTCTATTGGATGAAGAATCAAAGATCCACCCATATTCATGAGGAGAGGACATACACCCTACCTCTCAACGGGAGGTGTGCCAAAGAATTTGGGGCCATATTTTAAAACTGCCATACTGTTTCGTGCTAATTGACATATTTTACAGTTCTACCTCAATAATCTCTGCCTGAAAGGTCCTTGGCTTCGGCACAGTGTAGTGTTACCTATAGGGCAGTAGTCCCCAGAGCTGTGTATTGTGCTAGGTCCATGGTTCTCAACCCCATCTAGGCTTTAGAATCACCTGGGGAGATTTTAAAAATACCAATGCCTGAACTCTAGGAATTTCTGGAATTGGACCTAGGTATTAAGTTTTTTGTTTTTTAATGCTTAGTGCCTTATTCCCTAGCATCGTGTTTGCTGTATGCTGTTCGTCGATTCCTTTGGATGCTTCTAACTCAGTAGTTTTAGAAATGGATTCTCAAGTCCCACCAACCAATGAGGACAGGAAGAGTTGGGCAGGTGTGTTAACCTCAGGAGTCGGCGCAGAGGTTTCAAAGGGGCGGGTCTTGCTGGTGTGTGGCTATATCACTCCTTTTTGGAAGGAGTTGAGGTTGTAAATGAGAAATCTGATGGGTGGGGCACCTGATGGAAGTATAACAGAAGAATGAGCAGCAAGGGCTGTGATCAGGATAACACACACAGATGATGTCTGACATGCCTCTGTGCAAGACTTACTCCACAGCTTCTCAAACTCGGAAATAGTTTTTTACCTTTTCGGGATTCTAAACCGCAAGATTTATCACACTTTGCAGGAAGAATACATACACGGTAGTGAAATATAATTTGTGTTAGTCAGAAGTCTGCGTTGTCCAGTTAATGAATAAGCTTCCTCAAATATTTTCCTTTTCTTCCACTACTGCAAGCACACTCATCTCGATGTAACATCTGTTCACAAAAGTGCAACCACAGAAAAAAAATTAGAAACTGAGTTTTCACCACAGAGGGGCCTTGGCATCACACCCTGGCAATTCTGAAGTCTCCGTGCGTGGATCAGTTTAGCAGTTGTTCTTAAACTGAGGGCTGCCATTTAACATGGCCTTGGTCTTCAGCCATTCATGAGTCTGGGAAAATGACACGTTTGCTTCTCTAACTGCTAGCAAGTTCAGAGAAAGCAGAAAATTTATTCTTGACTGACCCCAAGCCATGTCAGAAGGAGAATGAGCCCATGATTGGTTCCTGCTCATGGCCTTAGCAACAATAAAAAAAAAAACATAACAACAGATCAGATTAATACCAAAGGGCAGTTATGGCTCCCATCTCAAATGACATCCAGATGTCCAACTTTTAAAAAGGAGATGCCGAAGCTGTGATTCCATGTCCCAAAGGGAAGAGAGGGAATTCATTCTATATCTTCACAGACTGTTTGTCACCCTTAGCACTATGGAGCAACGTCAGTTTCTTTAATTACTGTGTCATTTGCATTCTCACTAAATGAAAAGATTGCATATATGGTGTGTATGTGTGTGTGTGTGTGTGTGTGTGTGTGTGTGTGTGTGCATGTGTGTTCTTGTCTGAGCATGTTGAAGGTAAGGATGTGGGGAGGGGTTTGTGCTGTAACAAACATTCTAGGCCACAGCTGATAGAATGAATTTTGAGCTGGATTAGGTATTTCTTGGAACAATGGGTTAATAGAGAGTATATCGTGGGGCATCCCTTTACATGGTGCCACTTTTATGCTGCAGGTTAGGCATAGTTTTTTGGAGGGACCACAGTGGTTGGGAAAATAAATATGAGGACTGTCCACTGAACTGGAACTGAAATTCTGGAGAAAATGGGGGACAAGCTGCTTCTTAATCTCCAGAGCCTTACCCAGAAGGAAAGGAATTAACTTGAAGAGTAGAGAGACATAGTTCTAGACTAAGCTTGGCCATGAACTTTCTGGGTGACCTGGAACAAAACTTTTTGCCTACCCAGGCCTCAGCTTTCTCTTTAAAGGGATAGGTCTGATGTGGAAGACCTCTGAAGAACCTGTCAATTCTGTCATTCTAAATACTCATTGGATACTAAGGATATCCTCTTAAAACTATTTGCTACTGACTCCTAATCACTTAGCATGGATATGTAACAATATTGCTGACTTTTTTATTTGAAAATGAAATCACTGTTTTGTTTCCGTATTTGGTAAAACTGAGCACATCTCTACTCATTACATTGCATAAGCACATACATACATAAATAATG